GCTCCGTTTTCTTGGGACTTTGAGCGTGGCCTCCGTTCTAGAATGCGTGCGGATCGGGAAAACATGACCAACCAGTCATAGATGTAGAATCAATAAATTCTCAATTGGTCATGTAAGATTACAAGATCCTTCTACGCTGGTCGCCGGGTTGACACCGACCTATCCAGGTGGCAAGGGAAAAAAGGCGGGGGCCAATGGTCTCGCGCCAAATCCTTCGACACTTTCTGTCCGTTGGGACCCTCCTTGGTGCCACTGCAAGGCCGAGTCACTGCAGACCGGGATCAGTCATTAAATGTCTGTCATTAGATAAGATTAATTAACAGATATTAACAGTTAACAAGCAACAAAGAACAGCATCACCATGACAATCACTCTTATGTTGTGCCTTCCAATGGCAAGGGTTCTTTCATGTTCTTTCTATTTGCCTATCTTGGGGAGAAGGAGAACATCGCCTTCGCACCAAAGGATCTTTGAGAACATTGAAATCTAAGGCCCAAATAACCAGGGCTTTGCCATTCCAATCCCATTTTGGCAGTTTGGGGCATGGCACAACAAATTTTGACTCACCCTCCAATTTCTGCAAGGCGCAGCCAAAGATTTGCTGGGCGGCAACGGCCTGAGGGCCCGGGAGCTCAGTGGGATTTGAAGATCCTTCAGGAACTGGAATTCTTCCCCAGAATTGGTGGTAGATTTACGGTTGAAACCCATCTTTTTGATCTTTTTTGATCTTTTTTGCGGGGTGTAAAACAAGGGTTTCCTGTAAGTCATTTCCCTCAAACCAATCCAATGAAGATGTTATCACAATTCGGGTTGAACCTCGAAAATGCTTCAGACATCTTCAGACATAAAAGTGGAATTGGAGACACCTCAAAAGTTTTCCGTTTCAGAGTTAGGATTGCCGATGTGCTTCTATAGCTCGCGTGTTGGGCAGGGTGTAATTGATGCAAAGCAGCGACACAAAATGCAGAGCTGGTCATGTGAGGGCTCTCTTGGTTCTCCCTGAAAATGGCAAGAAATACCAAAAATTGAATGGCTTCTACTCATTTTCTCATGTCCAAAAAGGTATATACCCCTAAAATCGGATGCTCCCCGCCAGGTTCAAAGTTGGGTGAACGGCAAGGAGATGCAGAACGGGCTACTTGGATGGTTGGTAAGCTGGGGTACAGGTGATACAACAACCCATAGCTGGAACATTTTCTTAGTGCCAATACAAAACTAACATGACTGGGACATGACGGTTGGTCGGGAAATATGGTAATCGTATAGGGTAATCATATGTTCAACTAGAGGTACAACTTTTGGATACTTTTGGTGCATAGCCTATTTTCAGACACATCCAGATATTTGATGATATTTGGTTAAATAACAGAGCCTATTTACACAGCAAATGGATCCAACTTAGATGTTGAAAGCCAAAAAACTTGGTAGCCATTCCTTGCCACATCTTAGGAGCACCTCAGACATGGAGTTCCAATTGGGGCAGATTCTAAGCGACATGGCCGCGAATCACTGTGCAGACCCTCCGGTAGATTAACATAGAACTGGAAAACAGCATCATCTATAGATATACACATATAATTATATATAGTTATGTATATATGTACTACCGACCCGGGGGCTAAGATGTCAGCTGTTAGTTGTGCTCTGTAGTGTGGTGGCTTCAGCTTGTATGATTTGTAAGCGGTGCAATTCCTACTTTGGCGATCCGTGTGCCTGCTGCCGCACGCTGAGCAGAATCCAATTCCTGGTCGAGAGGAGTCGGCTACCCCTGCATACCGAGAGTGCGGTTCTTTCACTGCTGAGGCAAGCCGCGGGGGGCTTAGCTGACATCACCGAGCAGTTCGGGTTCCGGCAATTGGCGCCTCTACCTCCTCCTCCTGCTCCAGAAGGCGCGGCGGCGACTGCGGCTTCTTCCAGCACGCGACCGGGAGTGAGCACTCCTGAAGTGGCTCCTGCAGAAGCAGGTGGGAAGAAGGAGAAGTCAAAGAAGGACAAGAAAAAGGGTAGCACAGCTAAGACCACTTCGGTGGAGGAGAGGAGGCCGGGAGTGGAGGAGACTCCTGCAGAGGCTGAGGAGGACCCAGAGGTCATTCGAGCTGCTAAGGCAACTCCGTTGAAGGAACGAAAGACCAAGCCTGAGAACGAGATCCAACAGGAGGTAGATCAGTTTGTATCAGACCACCCGGGTACTTTCGGCTTAGGCAGTATTTCCGTTAGAGGAAGTGCAGCCCGTCATCTCAGCCGGAACGACGAGAGGAGGCACGAAAGACCCCCGGAGCCCGTTGGGCCGCCGCCGGGGGAGACACTTCCCCGAGCAGAACGCCGAGGGACACAGGCAAGGGAGAGGTCGCGATCCCGGAGAAAGAAGTCGAAAGGAGTTCAACACCGAGAGAGAGGCCGGGCCTATTGGCGTAACGCCCGGAAGCGCTAGACATGGCGCCCAAGGCCAAAGCCAAAGTGAAAGCAAAGGCGAGGGTGAGAAGGCCACCCTTGGTAAGAGGAGTGAGGAGACCTGCCAGGGCAGGTTTGAGGAGACCCGCAGCTGCGGCCGAGGAGGCCCCTCCTGGAGACGGAGCCAGCCGCCGGTGGGAAGAGGGGCATGTTGTGCCACTGCACCAGCTGGATCCGCGGGAGGTGAGAAAGTGCAGGACCCTAGTCATCGACAAGGCGTTCTACTATCACCAAGAGGTCAAGGTAGCGGGAGTTGTGACGGGAGTGTGGCTGGAGGAAGAGTCGTACTCCTTGAAAATGCAGCTCACTGGGACCACAGGCGAGGCGGCATCACATTGGGAACCCAGGCACCGAGTTTCGGGTTCACGCCTGTCCGCCCACCTGCAACCACGAGGAGGTGGCCGACAACATACTCCACGCCGTTCAAGGTCGTCGGGGGAAGGCAAAAGAAGAAGAGGAGGCTTGGATTTCCAACATGGAGACAGTGCAGAAGGATGCAGAGGGCGTCGACGAGTTGGCCCCCCTGCGCGAGAGGGCCAGGGGGGCCGCGCCGCCCCTGGAACCGGGGGTGCAGAAGGACAGAAGCCCCGAGAGAGGCAAGAGCAGGAGCAAGAAGCGCAAGACAAAAAAGGAAAAGAAAGAGAAGAAAGACAAGAAAGGACGCCAGGAGGAAAGAGAAAAGTCAGACAAGAGAAGGAAGAAAGGGTCGAGCCGCTGTTCGTCCGATCACTTAGAGGGAGTGCGGATGGATGGCACTCGGGCCAAGCTGGCCAGTCACAAGGCGGCGAAAGCACTCTATCAGGGTACGGGGCTGGATCCCCGCGACCGGGTCAGGTGGCGCGACTTGCTCGTCGCCATCTTCGAAAGAGGGCCGAGAAGAGCTCGTCCAGCAACACTGGCACATCGTCCTCGGGCAGCTCAGTGGATGGCCTCGACAAGTCGGAAGAGACCATTTTCGAGGCTGCATCGAAAGTGAGGGTCATCTCGGAGGCCTACCCTGGCGCTCTGGCCAATCAGGCCATCAATCAAATGAGGCTGACGCTGCTGCAGGAGGTCGGGTTCGAGGACAGGCCCAATGTCCTTTACCCGGCCGCAGTGGCGTATTACCGCCAACATTTGCAGCGTCGGGCCACCGGGCCGACCCAACGGGAGCTCCTGACGCTAGCTCATGGCATAGACCTCTTATTGAGAGGGAAGCCAGCGAGTGCCCTCGACGTCATGGTGCAGAGGTACAAGTCAATAGAACAGACGCTGACAGGAAGCCACTGGACGGTGAGCCAGCGGTTGGAGATCTTGCCAGCCGATTCCACTACACTCACGGCCGTGCAGGAGTCAGCCTCTGCTCAGAAAGAAGTGTACGCAGAGGCCAAAGCGAAGTACTACTCCGCCTTCCCAGAGGGCAGAGCTGGCAAAGGAGCGAAGGGGCCGTCAAAGGGAAAAGGCGAAGGAAAAGAGAAGGCCGGAGCAGGAGTGGATCGAGACAAGAAAGGAGGAAAAGGTCAGGGCAACAAGGGCGATGTTGCTCGCAAGAAAGATTGAAGCCAGGAAAAGACAGAGAGGAGGAAGTGCCTACGGGGGTACAGCCGAGAGCCTATGCTCTTGATCAGGCCTCTGAGAGTGGCAAGACTGAGGAAGATAGAAGCTATGAGGGAGGGATGGAATTGGCCTCCCCTTCTGATGAGACCCTAGCCACTGGCGCGCTGCACGGTGAGAGGCCTGACCAGGTGTATGAGCAGCCGCCCCAATCTTTGCATGTGACACCGTCGAAGTCTGGTGCCCAGAGAATTCCTTTTGTGCAGATGGAGCTGCCGGAGCCGACCGGCACTGGCGTGCGGAGCCTCGAGATGAGTGACTCTGGGACATTTTGCTCCTTGAAAAAAGCTGATGCGCTTCCTGGTTTGGAGGGGCATGTTTTGGGATCATGTGGTCATGTGTTGCTTCAAAGACTCCTAGAAGTACTTTCACTTCGCAGCCAGCCCAGGGGTAAGCGGGATAAACGTTCTCTTTTCCCCTTACCCACTTCTAGGGAAGTTTTAGTTGCAGTGGCATGTGACCTTTTGGAGGATGAGATTTCGTGGATGATTGCGGTGTGTGTTTCATTGAACTCACTTTGGGGAGATGTGCTTTTTTACGATGGTTTGCCCAACAAGGGACAAGAGTTGTGTTTAGCCGAGATCAAGGATCAGGTAAGGCGCTTTTGTGGTATGAAGGCTGTTATCGAAGATCTGGACTGGAATGCTTTCTTTAAGGTAAAGTCTGTGGACTACCAGGGTGATGAAGTCAAGCTAGCACGTTGGTTTGACTGGTCGAATATCGCACCAGCCCTACCTCCTGAGATTGGGAAGGTGCCACTGGAGGATGTCTGTACATTAGGGTGTAGACATTATGTCGAGTGTTTTGATCAGTTTTTGAAGCCATGTGAAGACTGGACTGTGGTGAGAGCACCGAGAGTCATGGTGGATGACTCTTCGTGGGGTGCAGTTTGCACTGGACTGATTGATGCGGGAGTCTGTGTGCTCCTGGAGGCCTCAGAGGTATTCCATGTGAATGATGTTCCATTACTCAATGGGCTGTTCGGCGTGCCAAAGGATGAAACCACGGCCGATGGCACGGAGGTTTTCCGTCTGATCATGAATATGACACCTCTGAATGCCCTTTGTATGCCCATGTCGGGGGACATTGATACTTTACCTTCGTGGGGGGCTATGAGCCCATTCTTCCTGCAGCCCAGTGAGTGCCTGCTCATATCCTCTGAAGACGTTAAATGTTTCTTTTACACCATGAAGGTCCCGTCTTGTTGGTGGAAGTTTCTTGCATTCAACAAACCGGTCCCTGATACAGTGCTCCCAGAGCATCTGCGGGGGCGCGTGGTTTACTTGGCTTCTCAAGTCCTTCCCATGGGGTTCTTGAGCAGCGTCAGCCTGGCGCAGCACGTCCATCGTAACCTTGTGTCATGGAGTGCAGGTGCCAGCTGTGGACAAAATGAGAGCCATCTCGAACTTCGCAAGGACCGACCTTTCACCTCGGGGAACCCTAACTGGAGGGTCTACCTGGACAATTATGATCTCCTGGAACGTGTCCAATCCACCCAGATGGTTGACATGGAGGGAACGGTTGCACCGGGAGTCCTAGCCCTGAGGAATGAATATGAGCGTTGGGACGTGCCCCGTCACCCCAAGAAGGCTGTGGCGCGTTCGCCTAAGTGTGAAGTCCAGGGGGCCACCGTGGATGGTGTGGATGGAGTGGCATACCCGCGAGAGGCTAAACTATGCCGTTATTTCTCTCTTGCCCTGAAGTTGGTGATGCAAACCGCAGGCACCCAGAAGCAGTGGCAGGTGGTTTGTGGCGGTCTGGTTTATTTCAGCATGTTCCGCAGGCCCCTGCTAAGTGGCTTGAATGCAGTTTGGCGACACATTGAGTCGTTTAACGCTGGCCCGGAACATGTGAGGGTTTCTCCTCATGACTGCAAGCTGGAAGTCCTGCGCTTTTTGGGTTTGCTGCCGTTGGCTCGGATGGATTTCCGGCTGGACATGCACCCCCTGGTTACCTGCAGTGATGCATCTTCGGGGGGCGGGGGTCTTTGCGCCAGCGCTGTCACAACCCCTATGGGACATGCCATCGCCTCTGGAGCGATGCGGGGTGATCACCCTGAGCCGCGATGGACGGAGGAATACTTGCGATTGGCCTGTTTGACGGCATTGGGGCTCTCCGCGTTGCCCTAGACACCTTGATGATCCCTGTGATCGGGTACAAAAGCATGAGCCCGCTCGGCGTGTTGTGGAGAGGCATTTCCCGGGCGTGGTCCACTATTCCCAAGTTGAACACATTACCGCCGAGGTCGTCCGAGGTTGGGCAGCCCGCTTCTCTCAGGCTTGTGTGGTCCTCATTGGTGCGGGGCCTCCCTGCCAGGGGGTGAGTGGTCTGAACTTTGACCGAAAAGGGGCCTTGAAGGACCAACGATCATGCCTCTTCCAAGAAGTTCCCCGAATACGTGATGAAGTCAAGCGCCAGTTCGTCTGGTGCCCCACCTACGTCCTTATGGAGTCGGTTGCATCGATGGACGACCGTGATCGTGAGATCATGAGCAGCGCGCCATTGGTTGTGCGCCGCTCCAGTGTGACGCGGGTAGCTTCACCTGGTGCCACCGCCCCCGGCTGTTCTGGTGCGATTGGGAAATTATGGAAAGCACGGGATTTGCCTTGGAAGAACCAGGAGATGGGCGACCTGTGGTTTTGACGCTGGATGGCAATCAACCGCTCCACGAGGTGGTGCGTTCGGGGTGGTACAAGGTTGAACCCCTGAAGTCTTTCTCTACCTTCACCACCTCCAGGCCGAGCCTGGTTCCGGGGCGAAAACCGGCGGGAGTGAAGCAGTGCTCCTTGACCGAACTCGCTAGACTAGGGGTGCTGACCGGCACCGGTTCCCCCCCTATCAATATTGCAATAGCAACTGCCTCGTGAACAAGAAAAATGAGCTGCGGGTCCCTGATGTGGCGGAACGGGAGCTCATGTTGGGCTTTCCCTTGCACTACACCGCAGGGTGTCTGCCGAAGAGCCAGCGCAAGACGGATGGCTACAATGATTGCCGCCTGACTTTGCTCGGGAATACCTGGAGTGTTCCTGTTGTGGCGAGCCTGCTATCGCAGCTCCTCCACAGGCTTGGGCTCATCGGCCCTCTATCCCCTCAGGACATTTTGGATCGGCTCAGGCCGGGGCATTGCCCGATGGCACAGGGACGTCTGTTCCGTCTGCCGTTGAATGGGTCGCGTGAGTCCAAGCCTGATTGCTCCGCCAAACTGGCTTTCAAATTAGGGAATATGATATCGATCAAGGGTGAAGATATCATGCTCACGACACCCACCAATCAGTTGGCCAAATTTCACCGTTTGCGCGCGACTGTTCCAGCACGTTGTTGGCGCTGGCGTGTGGTCAGTGGGTGGAAATGGAAATCATTGGGAGAGCACATCAATTCTCTCGAGTTGCGTGCCATCCTTACAAGTCTTCGCTGGAGGATTGAACATGCTCATCATTTCAAAACACGGTTCATACATTTGACTGATAGTCTTTGTGGAGTGCGTTGGCTTCTTTATTTGCCATTTCTGTAAAATCCAGAAACTATTTCTTGCACAGGTAGAAACCATTTGCTAAATTCTAGAGACCATTTGCTAAATACTAGAAACTATTTGCTACATACTAGAAACTATGCGCTAAATACTGGAAACTATTTCCTAAATACTGGAAACCATTTGCTAAATACTAGAAACCATTTGCTAAATACTAAAAACTGTTTGCCAAATTCTGGAAACCATGTGCAAAAAACTAGAAACTAGAAACCATTTGCTAAATACTAGACACCATCTGCTAAATAAGTAGGATATGTAGAAACTATTTTTCCCGTAAAGTAGAACATGTAGAAACCATTTGCTAAATCATGTTGATTTCCCAGAAGCCATTACTTGAATCAAAGGGGTAATATTTGCAAGTAAAAGTTGATATTGACCATGTTGTCAGGGCAAACCTGGTCAATCTTGGAACACGCATTTGCCAATGGTAGTTTATGGTGAGAAAGAACTAATGTCTTTACCGCACATGCCAGTTTAATAGTACTAGAGCCTCCTTCACCCATGGCTCACCACACTGAAACTGTTGACGCTTGAAACTTGAAACCATCTAGAATCCAATTGGGAATCGCGCCATACTAGTTGCAATGCTGTTTCAATCCAGGAAAGGGTGTGTCAAACAGCAACATAAACACATAATTACCCTATCCCAGCGCAGTTTTTGCCAAATGCACCATACAACGCCGCGAATAATTCCACACGCGATACCCACAAGTTGTGGGATCAAAAAAAATTGTTCCCCAAACAAAACCATGTGGCTGATAGCCTTTGCGGGTGAGTTGTGGGATGGTGTTAGCAGGCCTTTGCCACATGGCATTTTAGACACCTCAGAGGATACCCAAGTCAGGGGTTTCCCCCAAAAGTCCGGACTGGTGTGTGCCTGAACTTTTCTCTATTTGTCAAGGTCTGTCGCGGGAGCCCGGGGGGTCCGGTTTCGTCGGGAGCCTACCAGCTTAACCTTCCTAAGAGGTAAATATGAAAGGAAACTATTTCTTAAATCCCAGAAACTATTTCTTAAATCCTGGAAACTATTTCTTAAATCCCAGAAACTATTTCTTAAATCCAGAAACTATTTCTTAAATCCTGGAAACTATTTCTTAAATCCTGGAAACTATTTCTTAAATATTTCTTAAATCCTAGGAACTATTTCTTAATCTGTGCCCCAAACCCAGAAACCATTTACAAAACCAGGATTGCTTTTACCAATCCCAACCATTGGACAAGGATAGCAGTCAATCACTTAAAGTCCAGAGATTGCCCCAGACAAGTGAGCCATGTTCTCACCGAGAGAGAGAGGCTGCCACGCAGGCACCCTTCATTCTGTTTCGTTCTATGTTCTTGGACTCCTCATCCTCAGAATAAGTCACTGTTTCTTTTTTACGTTTCAATCTGTATGGAGTTTCAATATGTCATATATAATGTGTCTATATGTGTCTATATTTGTCAACTTAGGTTTTATTTATCTTTATTGGTATATTGTCTTGTTTGATGATTTAAGGCAGAGTAAGGGTATCACAGAAACCATTTCAAACCGTTTCCCGCTACTTGCTAGGTAATAGTCCGAAACCGTCCGAAACCGTTTCCTACTATTTGCTAATTCACCCTGGTGCAAATAGTTTCAAATAGTTTCAAATAGTTTCAAATAGTTTCTGCGAATGGCTAATTGGCAAATAGTCCGAAACCGTTTCAAACCGTTTCCCGCTACTTGCTAGGTAATAGTCCGAAACCGTTTCAAACCGTTTCAAACCAATCCCTAGAAGGCGTAACTTGAATTACTTTTTAGTTTTTTTTTATTAATGTATTTTTTTGGATATTTTTCAAAAGTTTCCAAAACTTCGATTTATTTAGGAAATAGTTTCTGCAAATTGGGTTGATTTAAGAAATAGTTTCAAATAGTTTCCCAACTTAGGGTTGATTTAGGAAATAGTTTCTGTAAATTGGGTTTATTTAAGAAATAGTTTCTGGCCTCCACAGACAAAGAGGCCAAGGCACCCCCCAAGATAGTCTTGTTTGCCTGCATGGGCTGACCCGTGGGCGCACTAGCTCACGACGGTTACGACGACCCATGACCCGGATCAATGCCCTTATCCTGGCCTCTGGTTCCCAGCCCCTGTGGGGCTATGTTCACACCGAGCAGAACCCAGCTGACAAACCAAGTAGGTGGGGTCAGCGGGTTCGCACGAAATTCCGCCATGCCAAAGCGTAGAGTTTTGGAGGGTGCGGAGGATCAGGAAAGGGCAAAGCGCAGGCAACAATTGGGCAGTCTACACAGTTTAACCGTGCAACCAGCTACACGAAGACGTTATGACAAAGCAACCGAGGATTTTTTCAGTTTTTTGCGAAAAGAAAAACTGGTCCTTCCCACCAAAAAAGAGCAGCTAGATCCTCTAGTGTGCGACTATTTGGAACACCTGTGGAGCACTGGTGTTGGAAGAGGGCAGGCAAATGACACCGTTGCGGGGCTTCAAGACATCCAACCCAACCTTCGGCACCATCTGCCGGGAGCATGGCGGCTCCTGAAGACATGGGCAGTCAATGAAATCCCTAATCGTGCACCCCCAATCCCTGAACAAGTTGTTCAGGCGATGGCTGGATGGGCATTTTTCCATGGTCACAACTCTTTTGGTGTTTCGCTCATCCTTGGTTTTTATACCATGCTCCGGTCTGGAGAACTGTTAGGCCTTCGGTCCTCTCATCTTCTTTGCTCTCCTAAGGAAAAACAGGTCCTCGTCTCACTAGGGATGACAAAAAGGTGGGAAGCGCCAAGGCGCCGCAGAGTCAGTTATCCTGGGAGTCGAACAAGGAGTTTTCCTTACCCGAGCGTGGAAACGTATCGCTCTGAATGGTACACCTTTGGCTAGTTCCCCTGCGAAATGGCGATCTTTGTTTACTGAGAGCCTGACGGCTTTAGGGCTGGAGCGTTTTCAGTATAGGCCTTATTCTCTTCGGAGAGGGGGTGCCACTTTTTGGTTTCAAAAGCACCACAATTTGGATCGTATCTTAGTCCAAGGGCGTTGGCTGGCCCACAAGACGGCTAGGATATATATCAATGAAGGTTTGGCCCTGATGGCACAAACCCATATCAATTTCAATGATCCCGGAATTCGAAGTTTTCTCCAAATTTATCACCATACATGCAAGACTTTAAACTTTACCACACTTGAGCCTCCAGCAAATGCTGGAAGGCCTGGGGGACGTGGAAAGAAGGTGAGGAAGCGTGTCAAAATTGCGGAGTTTTTCTCTCCAATAGGGTTGACCACTGTTTTCTGGGTGACAACAAATCAGGAGGTTTGGCTCGGTTTAGTTGTCTCAGAATTGAACCTTGGATCTCTCCCACTTTGGGTGTGGCCAGGTGGAGAGAGGGGGTTTGCAGCGGGGAATTGCCGGTGGTCAATCCCTGTAATTGTGATTTTCAGATATTTATTTTATTGATTTTGACAAAATCGCTGCGAAGTTGAGCAAAACGACTTGCTGCACATCTTTGTACTACCGACCCGGGGGCTAAGATGTCAGCTGTTAGTTGTGCTCTGTAGTGTGGTGGCTTCAGCTCCCTTCCCCCCCAACCCGAGAGTTCTTTTTTTTGGCTCCTGATTTGGTTGCAGTGGGAAAGAAGGTGAGGAAGCGTGTCAAAATTGCGGAGTTTTTCTCTCCAATAGGGTTGACCACTGTTTTCTGGGTGACAACAAATCAGGAGGTTTGGCTCGGTTTAGTTGTCTCAGAATTGAACCTTGGATCTCTCCCACTTTGGGTGTGGCCAGGTGGAGAGAGGGGGTTTGCAGCGGGGAATTGCCGGTGGTCAATCCCTGTAATTGTGATTTTCAGATATTTATTTCATTGATTTTGACAAAATCGCTGCGAAGTTGAGCAAAACGACTTGCTGCACATCTTTATATATATATATATATATACATAATTATGTATATATATATATGTATATATATATATATGTATATATATATATGTATATATATATATGTATATAATTTTGTATATAATTATGTGTATATATAGAGAGAGATACAGGTCATTGTCTTGCGAAACCATGGGTTTTCATGTTTTCCATATCACTGTCAACTAACGTCAACTTTCTGCAGGTACATGTTTAAGATTGTCTTCCGCTTTCAACATGAGGTTGAATTCCCTTCAATTCACGTCCCTTTGTTTTGTTTGCCGGGTATCCTCTAATCAATTTGAGAAACCGGAAATATCCCGCAAAACCCAACGCTTGTTGATTCAATTTCAGCTGTTTAGAAACCCGTAGTTTGGATGCTTAAATCACCCTTTTTTGTGATAGAACCACTATTTTTGCTAGGTAACCCCCATCTTCGCTAGGTAAACTACTATTCTTGGCAGGTAAACCGCAGATTTTTTCGAGGATCTCAACATATCTCAACTCTACGATGCGCAACGCGCGCAGAAAACCTCAGGTTACTTGTCGCAAGGCACCACGCTGCTTCCCGGCACAGTGATTCTCACCGGAACTCCGCCAGGCCCCGGTTGATTGGGATACTATTCAGAATTGGATATAAAACCAATGGATTGTTATATAGTTATATAACAGTTAATAGATGAATAGTTAATGTGTGTTAATTTTCATAGTTAATATATGCTAATATTAATATGATAATCTTTTTGTTATATATGATCTGGTTAATACTTAATAGTCAATGGATAGTTTGCCATAATAGTTCCATGTTAATATTAATACTATGTAATTGCAACTCTGAATAATCAATCCAATGGATGAATAGTTTAATAGTTCAATAGTTTCCAGATAACAATCACTCTTATCTAATATAATTGGTATATTTAATTGGGATTATAACCCAAGGATACTAGATAATTGTATAATAGTTGGGAACATTATTATGACCAATTATCAACACTGTAATTGATTGGGGTTCTCCGTTCATGGTGTGTGATATTCCCCCCATGTATTGGTTATGAACTCATCCCCCAACTCATCATCAACCAACTGGGGTTTTGAACGCTGCTCATATGAAATCATGAAAGATTTCTGACTTATACGTCATCAAACATCTGCGATTGTGACTGCAGTGATAAACCGATATAAACCGGACAAATCCAAAGACATGGGTCTGAAAATAGGGTAGTTTATTTCCAGACATACCAGTATCATTTCTGGATGACCAAGTGCCAGCTGAGACAGGAGTTGGATATGTGCGTGATCCGCCAGTGTATTTGCATCCCGGAGACAAGGTCGGAACCTTCTGGACCTGGGGGGCCCTCAAGTGCTGTGTTGTTATCGTTGCCATCAAGTTGACATGTGAAGAGTTTGTTGTGTGCCAAGGCCAGGGTTCCACCCTGGTTATGATGTTGCTGTGACAGCCAAACAACTGAAGAATCAGGCACATCGCTAGCTTCGTGGATTATCCATCCTGTCATTTAATGGCCCTTAAACCTGATGGATAAAATTCCCACTTTCATCCGATTTCCAGAACAAAGTCCCATCAAATCAGTTTGTGGGGGCTCATATCAGCACCTTGAATTCCATCAAGCCCCGTTTTGTGAGTCAAATTACCTTAAATCACTGAAATTCTCAGTCTTCTTATATAGTTAAATCTCACGTTGAACTTGAAGGAATGTCTTGTTAAAAGCATTTAAAAGCCCCAAAAGAATCCAGCTGACTTCAAGGTTGAGGTGGAAGTGCAGTTCGCTGGGCGGCTGTTGAACCCAGTGGATGCAGGGCCATGAGGCCGGATTTTTCTCTGGATCCAAATCTGGGTGAAATTTATCATTTTTACGGGAGCGATTAATTAAGCAGAAAAGCTAGGGAAAATTACCCTCTGGTAAATTAACAGTTGGACCCTGAAAATCACCCATTTTTAGAGGAAACCAATCTTCCAACCCCGATGACTGCCAGGGTCTATGTTAATTTACTGGAGGGTATGTTTTGACAACAATATTTATATAGTGTAAAGAGAGTGGAAACATTGGGAGTTCAATATAGAAAAACAAGCTGGAAAAATTACGAAAAAATGGGCTTACCGATACAAAATGTTCTGAGTCCTGGCGTCCAAAAGAAATCCTTGTGCCAGGCGCGTGAACTACGTGAAGTGGTGGACATTCGCAAAGTGGGTGACTCCAGAAAGAACTGCTGGGTGGTTTCATATGTTGTTCATATTATATAGAATTATAATATTATATATTATTCAATCCTATTTTTAGGATGGTCCGGTCCCGATTGACTATGTCTTGGGATGGGTTGGAACACGTTGAAACCACCAGAAATGTTTGCTGCTTGCTGGCAAGCGCTCAAAAAGAGTGAGTGAAGTCTTGGAAATCTCAAAAAAAAAACTTGTTTTGGAGGACGCCACCCTTGATGGATGATGGGCGTCTTCTCGTTTTCCGCTGGTGATGCTCTCGTTTTCCGGTCGTGAAGAGCGCGACAGCAAAATGGTGCGGTGAACGAGCTGGGTAATCAGCATTTGAAGCAGCAGTACACAGCTGTGTCATAGAAGACATGTCAGAACATCCGCCAATCATGATAAATGCATATAAATCCCCAGGAAATGGGACTTAAACTGAGCAAATCCAACACAAACCAGGATTTGTGGAGTGTAGCCCTGCGAATCCCTGCGATGTTTTGCGAAATTCAAGCAGTGGTCGTAGCAGTCCCCTTCAGCAAGTTGCATCATGGTTTATTTGCCCTTTCCGCCAAGTCATCCGTTTCATGTATAGAAATTATATGATTATATAATATTATATATATATACATACAGAGAGAGAGAGAGAGAATTATATAGAATATAGATATCCAGAATTATATAGATATAGATATTGAAATGATTATTACTTATTACTATTAGTTCGATTTAATACTTATTATATAGTTATTATATCATTGAACGGGAAATTTCGTGCCACTGCCAGGAGCGGAGAGATGATTTGGTGGCCTTGTTGCCCAAGGATGTGGCGCAGGTGACTGGGGGATGGAAAAATGGCATTGTTTTACCAAGAATATTTGGATAACGATGTAAGATGAGATAAGTTTATAATGTAACTACACCACACAGTATCATCAATTAGACATGTTATGACACTACAGTACATTAGTACATTATAAATAAGGTGTGTATATATATATATACGACAACCCACACATCGTATGGATCGCAGAATACTGCATCATTCAATTTAATTTGCATGTCCAGTTGAAAACATCTCCCAGCAACTGGGAGCTCAAGTTTTCCGCAGGCCCAGTATTACAAGCTCATCACCATGTCATATGGTAGATGGAAACTATATTGGATCCCTCCCAGACTTGGTTTAGAATCGTTTTTCCATATATTTGATGGTAGAAAGAAGTTTTCTGCGTTTTTTTCCTATGTTTTTCTGTGCTTTTTCCTATGGATTTCCTATGGATTTTCCAGCAGCCAGGAGGCCGTGGATCGTTTTTTTCAGGCGGAGGAGGTGGCGTCCAGTGCTGGATCCAGTGCTGTATCTAATCCCATCCACATATGAAATACCCTCTGGTAATTTAACATAGCTATGGAAAATCACCATTTTTAATGGGAAAATCCACTATAAATGGCCATTTTCAATAGCTATGTTAGTTTACCAGAGGGTAACCCCAAAGAAATCTAAAGAAGCCATGACTAAGCCATGGTGTAATAGGGATTTGAATGGATTTCATACATATTTGAGGCTATTTAGTTTTTTTTTTGATATTGGGGGATGGGATTATAGTACTTTTTTCCATGGGGACACAGTAACCGAACATAACCTGACCCAGCTAAACGGCAATAACGGCAAAAACAAAGTAAGGGGTGAAAAGCTGAGTGGTGAGTTGCTTTGAAACAAATAAAAGGTTGGGTGAGGGTTGGTTTGAAACTTGGAAAATTCGGTGTCAAGTTGCCGCTCAAAGGGACCGGGTGATGGTTGGTCTTGTTTTTAGTTGGGTGATGGTTGGCGGAAAAGATCCGAAAATGTGGGTTGCTGAGTAACGATTGGTGTTGAAAAAGTTGAAACATTTAGGGTGGCTGGAGCCCTCGATTGGTTTCGCAGGGTCCCAGCGGTCCCATGCTTTCGACCAGATAAGAAAACCATGGCCATGAGAGACTGCGGGTAAGTCATCACCTTAACGTCCCATTGTGCTTCGAAAATCCATCGCTACTTTGTGGCTTCAAACATCGACTATGTGAAAACCCTTGTTTTGAAGAGAAACTTCCAACAGACTGTGTATAGGTTCCAATCAGATATTTCAGGTTGTGGTATCGACCAGTTTGGAGGCAACCCGGACACAACTTGCGACCAATCCCAGCAATGGTGATATGTGGATAATGAATGATAATGAACATGCCAGAATGAAGTAAGCAAGATACCCATTCAATCCCATTGATCCATATAGATATATGGGTATGGATCAATACCTATTAATACCATTTTTAGTGGGATGAACATCCATTTACCAGCTATTTTGATGTTCACCAGGGGTACAAGGTTTTGACACACTGCCATATATTTTAAGGGATGTGAATTTATTAAAGCGATCCATCACATTTCCATTGATACCCAGTGATACAGAAGTGTTTTTAGGTCTTTGCCCGCTGCCTGAGTAAACCTCTGGCAGTTTAATGTATTTTTCCCGAAAATGGGGAGTGTGTACAGCGTTTTCTCTACTATCCAGCAAAGCAACTTTTTGCATTTGTTTGGAGGAATGTTAGGATATGATGATATATGATATGTGATATATTATATATATATATATTTACATAGAGAGAGAGAGAGAGGGATAGATAGATTAGATTGGATTTGATTAGATTGGATTAGACTGATAGAATTAGATTAGATTAGAGAGATAGCTTGGCCGATCAGCCATGATTCCAAGCTGCCCAGACCTGGTTGATGTCCAAGGATTGGTTGCTCAAGCTGGCCGATCTGGCCGTATCTGGCCGTAAAAATGAATTTGTATGTGGAGGATCTACCATTGATCCCCAGAATCCAAGGTTTATGTCCAGATGATCCTTTAAAAATCGATCAACGAATATAAATGGATTAATTAATGGTTAATTAATGGCAAAATGATCCCAAAAATGTTTCGAGGATGGAATCATCCCGAATTAGTGGTTCTGATTTGGAATGAGCTGAAAATCGTGGGTTTGCCACATCCATGTTAATTTTATACCCTCATCAACAGGGCCGAAATAAAAATACGTATACAAACTACCCTTTGACCATTGGGTTTAGCCATATTTCCCAGAGTTTTCAGTAACAATTTGCTATGGAAAGTAGCCATTTTTGAACATTACATCATCGAAATGGGCCATGGCTTCTCACAAACTCTCAGATTATCAGAGGGTATTCCAAGTTAACAAACGGTTCAATCCCAATGTTCCACCAATTTTTCATGGTAAAATCCCAATGTCCTACCAATTTTTATTGGTAAATCATGGTAAATCACCATTTCTCCAGGCTTTTTGTTGGTCAAGCCGTTGATCCCGAGTTTACGTGGCCAGGTGGTGGCTTCTCAGCTGCGCAGCTTTGTGCTGATGAACGCAGCGAGAGATGTTTGGGAGGCCCCTTGGTGACGTGGGGAATCTTGGGGGATCCATAGGAAAGCCCCTTAGATGTATGATATTACCCCAATAGCTGGATGGTTTATCAAGGAAAATTCTGCTAGAATCTATCTATCTGATTTGATGGGATATTAATGAGGTGCTAGAATTTGTCACCCTCTGGTTATGACTAACATAGATGGTATATGAATGAGATATATGGGCCATGGTGTATATATATATATATATTACCCTCTGGTTATGACTAACATAGCCATGGTTAAGCCATGGCCCTAATCGAAATAGATGGTTTACCGTTCTTAATAGCATGGTGGATCTTTCCATGGCTATGTTAAATAACAAAATGGTACCCCAATAGCTGGATGGTTTAAAATGGAAAATCCTACTAGAATGGATGATGACTGGGGGTACCCCTATTTTAGGAAACCACCTACTATACATACCCTCTGGATCCCTCTGGTAAACTAACACATAGCTATGGAAATCACCATGTGTCATGGAAAAATCAACTATACATGGGCCATGCTCAATAGCTATGTTAAATTACCAGAGGGTAGTGAGTGTTAAAGTACACATGTGATAAATTATACATAATATAGTTATCTCAGATATTACTTATAGTAAACCCCCTACTTGGGGATCCTCCATATGATATACTATACATGATGAGTATTAAAGTACACATGTGATAAATCGTATATATTATCACATACGGAGTATCAAAATACTATGTATTTATAATATGTGCATGAGTACTACATATCTATATCCACATATGTTGCATTGTTTGATGGGTTATATCACATTTTTGCTGAAATCCCTTCCCGTTGATAAGGTGTTCCGGAAGGGCGAGGGTCAGAAGCTGTAAACAAAATACGACTCTGGCAGATCTGCAGGTTAAAAAAGTGCTTCACAAGGTATGCATGAGTCAAATTATGATTACCCGCAGAAAGATGAGATGGTTTTAACATTTGGGTAAAATTATAGGCCATTGTTACCATTGTTCTACAAACACATTGCCCAAAAAGAGATGAGATGATTCCCAAAAGACCTGCGGCTGGTTGACTTGGTGCGCAGGTTCCAGACGTTGGAAGGATCTCCTTGGATCATTTCTCCAACACTGTGCAGGTTGGGCATGTGCCACCGGAGGATCCAAAAGCGGCCCAGTAGACACAACCAAAGATACCAAAGATCCACGATATTCCAAGGTACAAGTTCATTTTTGTTGCACATCCAGTTTCAATTGGACATTGATGACAAATCACTACTATTTGGTGAATGTGTCCGTGAGTTTTTGGTTACTGTGTCTTGGCGCATGGCGCAGCCTATCAAGTCGCGGCAATAGCACTGTCGGGAAGTTGCCATCAACCGGCTGCCTGATGGTCGAGCGACTTATCCACTTCACTTCACACATCAAGTCGAAGCTACTGTATATCTGACAGCATAATTGAAATGCCCATAGAAATATTTGATTTTCCCATTAAAAATGGTGATTTTCCACCCGACAGCAACTTCCAACTCAGTAACTCACCACTCCCAACTTTGGGTAGACACTCCCAGCAGTTTCCAATAAGCCCAGCTACTGAGCCCCAAAAAAAATCAGATCTTGGCCCGTCGTGGGTTCTCTGCGGATGCCCCACATGGCCGATGTTGGAAGAGAGACCCTCAGCAAGGAGAAAGGAGGAGCAAGATGAGAAAGAGATACAGAAATGATACAGAAATGATACAGAAATGATACATGTAGGCAAGATGCATCTTCCAAATCTTGTTTAACTTCAGTTTTTTGTGGGGTCCATGATTTTGAGGCTGCAATTTTCAGTGAAAGATGCGGTTTTGGGGCACAAGTGCACTGCATGGGCCTGAAATCTCATGACCTGAACCATGCTCTGCTTCATTAGTTGGCCTCCACAGGTTGTATGGATATTGTACTGGTAGAAATGGAACGCAGATGAAAGGAAAGTATTGGCCACTTGTGACAGGCAAGACAAATCTAACAAGGCGGAAGCAGTGGACAGAGGGACATGGATCAAAGGTGACTAGAACTGAATTGAAATGAAGGAAGACAGGTCTATGTACTGGTAAAGTGTCATCTCGGGGCTCCCGTTACTTCGAGAGCTGGGGTACAGAGTACTGAAATTCATCTGAATTCCACCATCAGTAATTCATCGGCTTCTTTCACCAGTAATCAATGCCCAGGCTATACAAGTCGAACCTTGTCACATGCATAACACTTTGCATCTGTGAATAGTTACTCTCAAAAAGCTGGAGCTTCACAGCTGGTCGGCTTCCAAGGTCGATTTAAGTGGCTGGAAAGGCTGATCATTTCCAACGGTTGGCGGTTGGGGGTACTTCATCCACAATATCCACATCTTCTGGACACATCCACTTGATGGTCCCAGCTCTTCAAGACCCGAGGATATGAGCGGCTCCAGATTTTGGGTGAAGGGTCCTATGGTACTGCACTGCTGGTGCGAGAGAGAGGAGGCTCTACCAAGCTGCTAGGATTTGATGGAAGGGGCGGGGATGGAGGTGGGGATGGGGGATGAAATTCATGGTGGTAATAGACTATGATAATCTATGATACACTTAATCGCCTCCCAATTTCATTAAAGCGTTGAAGCTCTTCTGCAGCAAAAAAGATGGATGGAAGTAGTTGGTTCACATCCCAACATCCAGCAGTGACAGGCCGCATCCAGGTGGCTGAAGTCTAACGGAAGAGAGACATTTTGAGAAAATGGTTCTGATTCTTGATTTTGAGGGGGGTTAATTATGGTTAATTGATGTTAATTGTCATAAAAAGATATAAAAAGTGTTGTACACTTCCCACTGATCTCACCGGGAGGATACAATCATCATAGATTACACGCGTCCAACATCGTCCAACCAAGTTTCTCCATGCGGAAATGTTCGAAGGATCCAAACATCATCTAACACTTGGTACCGCGTGTTGACAGTTGCGCCTGGGGAATCGCAGGGCTGCATGGGTAGGTAGGTAGATAGACAGAAAGACAGACCGACAGATAGGTAGATAGAGAGACAGAGAGATTCGAGATAGAGAGATAGTTAAATAAAAATTAATCAATAGATAAATGAATATATATATATAATGATATATACATATAAGTGATGACTTTATTTTTCTCATCCCCAGGAACTTGTTGACGCCCTGGGTCCTCCAAAATCTCCCAGGTATGTTGCCAAAGAGATTCGCATCAGTCACCTTGGAGAGAAGGTGCGAAATTTGTTTTCTGCCAAATTCCAAAAAGGCCTCTGGTAAACAAACATAGCTATTGAAAATGGCCATAGAAATAATTGATTTATCCATTAAACATGGTGATTTTCCATCCATAGTTATGTAAACGTTTACCAGAGGGCCGAGGGTATATCATGTTATCACAAGTCATATCCAGTCATTTTACCATTTCGACTGAGTCGTTTTCGTTTTGAGAAGCTGCTGGAGCGGGGGAAGTGCTCCAGCGAAACCCAACTGTTGCTTTGCAGATGGAAGAGATGAACCAATCCCCAAAAAAAAATAAATATATATATATATATATATAATACCGCCCCCCAATTCCAATGGTTGGTTTTCATTTTACCCATTAAAATGACAATTTGCCAGGAACCTCACCTTCATGCACAGCCATATCCAGGAATCAAGTGATTTCGTGGTACAGTCGCACCACGTCCTGACCAGGAGAGGGGGCTGGCCTTGGCAGAAGCCGACGTCTTGCGGCGCTTGTCTCATGCCAACATCGTCCGCAGCTCGGATAAGTTGATGATCGGAAAGGGTGGAATCACATAGCGAAAATGATTCCACTCTATGATGCTATATGTACACACATAGAAGGCTATATGTGTTTCTGCAGAGGGAATCATAGGATTACTATACATGCTACCATTTACTACAGTACTATTACAGTGGATTATAGTGAACTATAGTGAACTATTCATAAGATTACTAGAATCCACTGTAATAGTACATATAGTACTACAATCATTTAGTGATCATTTCCCCACCTATTACAGTGGATTATAGTGAACTATAGTGAACTATTCCTGAATATGGTTATTTATGAGTGGGTAATGGCACCCTTTAAAAAATGCATTGACACCGCCAATTGGATTTTTGGATCAAGCAGAATGGGAACCTTAGCCAGCATCCCCTGGCATGGAAAGATATGGATTGAAAGTTGAGACCTACACCACTCATGTTTTTGGGATTTTGTGGTAGTTGGCCATCCAATCTTCGAGTACCCTATTGACTCATGATGACTTCCAGCAGTGAGACCAAAAAGATATCTTAAATTCGTTGAACAAAATCCTGCAGACGAAAATGGGAGATAGCCCCAATTTACTGCCATCAGTAGGGAACATGATGATTAACCCGCGGATGGAATTGGGTGTTCACCCCAAAATTTGAGACGCAGGATACGTCGACTCCTTCCTGGATTCGAGACTGTTGTACATCATCATGGAATACGCGGACAATGGCGATTTGGCAACACAGATCAAGTTGCGGCGCGAGACTGGAGGACTGCACAGGGTTTGGAGAAATCTTTGGTAGATCACTTGCGCCTTGGTCAACATGGTAATTGAAGAGTCTAGTTCCATAAGATCCATAAGTAAACATCTATTGAAATCTATTGAATCTGTTGGGGGGTAGCTGATTTTTTTGTCCATGAAGTAGATGTTTGGAATTGTTTGAATCTATGGCTCGGGTATGCTCAGAGGATGCTTCGCAGAGAGCGAGATAATGCACATCCATCTGCAACTGGTTCTGGCGCTGTCGCATATCCACAAAGTGAAAATCCTGCACAGGGACTTGACGCTTGGGAAAAAAAACAATCGTGTGCCGGCGCAGCAGAGTTCACAAGTGATTTTTGTTTTGCTTCGGATGTTTCGTTGTTTGTTTGCCATGGTTTCTGCAGTTTCTATCCCTAAAACTGGCAGAAAAATCACTGGTGTTGTCAGCGGGGATCATGGGATCATCACAACTCGGGCGCCGTTTTTCAGGAAGCCGCTGAACATTTTCCTCACGCGGCAATGGATCGTGAAATTGGGCGATTTTGGAATCTCCAAGGTGCCTACAGGGCCTACAATCAATGGAACTCAATGGATGTCGCGAAGTTACGAGGATGGGAGAATTGAAGGGGAAGGCCGTAAATTACCCAACAAGTTGGACCGTCCAATGCATTGTAATTTTCAAGCGTCCAGCTTTTTCTAGGATTCTAGGCCCTAGGTTTTGTTTGTTGCATGAAGTGGCTGATGCACATTGAGTTGAGATGTCTGACAAAAGAACAGTGCAGGATGTTGTAGCTTTTGGGAACAACACATTCTTTCAGTTTGGGAAGAATCTGAGCTTTAGCTGCTGATTGTATGCATATATATATATATATATACTGTGTATATATATATATATATCGCATGTGTTTGGGAAATCATGTTATATATATATATGTGTGTTCATTTTTATGTTATGTTTGTTTGAACCTTTCCAGGATAAGTATAAATACGGATGTACCCAGTAGATACAAACAAATCATCAAATATGCATTTGAATACAGATGTAAATGATCATATCATTCTACTCTGAATCCATCATGACTAATTGTGACTAACATCTACGTAACACATGAATCTCACAGAAGAATTGCAAGCGATGATCGGCCAGGTGTTGGAAAGTACGACACTGGGAGCTCAGACCACCATCGGTACACCCTTGCACCTTGGCCATCGGAAAATTCATTGGATGCACCGTGATGCACCCGGTTGAAACCGCGAATTGAACGTTTGACGTTGATGTTGGATTGAGCGAGTGCGATGCAGTTAATGCCACAGAATTGCTGATTGGTGGTGACTGGAACATGAATGGATTATGACTTTCCCATCATATTGGGAATGTCATCATCCCAACTGTTACTCACTCCATCATTTTTCAGAGGGGTAGGTTGAAACCACCAACCAGATTGGCATTTTTGATGGAGATGAAAGATCCGTCCATGGCCTACTGGCCTGTCCAATCTTATGGTGGGATGTCATGACTCCCGTTGCAGCCACAGGTATTTGTCACCTGAAATTTGCAGTGGCGAGGCTTACGGCCGCCTGGCCAGAAAATGGCGGGATGGGTCCACATGTGTTCAGCACCAAAATGAACGGTTTCATATGCTTTGATTCTTTAATGTATAAGAATTATATATATATATGTATACATTATAATATATATATGATTAATTATATATAATTAGAATTACATATATTTATAATTATAATAAAATAGTTATATATGTATACTTATATATGTATATCAACCTCCGTTAAGTGGATCCCAAAATGAACGTTGTAAGCTGCTAAAACATACTGCGCATAATTCACCCCGCTTCGCGTGGGGTGGCCGCCCACACCGCAGGTTTATTTCGGTCCGTGAGAGGGGCTAAGGGTGGTTTTCCCCCGTGGGGGCTCCCCAAGCTAAGAATTTTCACTTTCCCCCCCCGTGGGGGCTCCCCAAGCTAGGGAATTTTCACTTTTCCCCCCCCGTGGGGGCTCCCCAAGCTAAGGAATTTTCACTTTTCCCCCCCGTGGGGGCTCCCCAAGCTAGGGAATTTTCACTTTTCCCCCCGTGGGGGCTCCCCAAGCTAGGGAATTTTCACTTTTCCCCCCCCGTGGGGGCTCCCCAAGCTAGGGAATTTTCACTTTTCCCCCCCGTGGGGGCTTCCCAAGCTAGGGAATTTTCACTTTTCCCCGCCGTGACAGCTTCCCAAGCTATGGAATTTTCACTTTTCCCTCCCTTGGAGGCTCTCCAAGCTGCGGAATTTCAAATAGCTAGACAACGACGCCTAGATAGTCCCCCAAATCCCGTGTTCTTTGAATGTGTTTCCATGTTTTTGCAATGGTTTCCTTCAAAGCACGGTACTTTACACTTTTGTCGCCATAAAACCGGTCGAAAACATCATGTTCGACAATGCTTCCAATTCCCTTATCTCCCCAACCGTTGAAAATACCGCTATTTACAGTGTTTTCTTCAATTTTTCCATGTTCCAATGCCGGTAGCCAACTCCAACATATATATAAGAAATCCTTCCAAAACATTGTTTTTGACAGTGTTTTTCCAATGTTTCCAGTCAAACAGACGGTAATTTACACGTTTTTTGCCATAAAGGCAGTAAATCCTTCCAAAACATTGCTTTTGACAGTGTTTTTGTAATGTTTCCAGTCAAGCATACGGTAATTTACACGTTTTTTGCTATAACGTCAGTCCAAAACACTTGTTTTTGCAGTGTTTTCAATGCTCTGGCATCCAAAAACCCTGCAAAATCTTGCTATGTACAATGTTTTTTTCATTTTTGGCCGTTTTTCCATTGCCGGAAAGCTACCAAAATGACCCAAAATTCCATTTCAATACCCTCTTGCGCTCAGACACCCAAAAATCCTCGAAAAATGTCGAAAACACCACCGTATTCTGGTCTCGGTGCGAAACCGTTTTTGGCCCCCCCCCAGCTAAAGCTGATATAGCGACTGCTATATTAACAAATGTCATTGAGCATTTAGTGTTGCTGTTTTGCCCCCCAATAAGCACGCCTTCACCGCCAAAGCGGTGTGGGCGGATTTGTCCGGCGGAATGCCGTACGGTACACCATTGACTTGACCCATAGCCATTGGCTGTAGTTAATCTGCCTTTATTCGGTAAATTTTGATGGGAAGATCATGGGAATATCATGGGAGTATAAGTGGGATATGATTGGATATGGTTGCACATAGCTTGTCCTTTTCCTAAGAAACAGCGGCGGCACCCTTTCGCACTGAAGAATTCCAACGTTCTCGGCCTGTATTGTTCGGATCGCTCTTATTCTTTTGAGATTCCTCTTTCTGGAGGAAGATATCCATCCTTTAAAACAATAGGGAAAACTTGCAAAACTCGGGACTTGTCATTTTTTTTGCGAGTTTCTTGACCGAATGCTGATTCTCAGATTCATCCTCAAAAAGGTAGATAAGAACAAGAGCCAAGATAAATATTCATAATTGTCGCATCAACCAGAGGTGGCTTTTGAGGATACCACTTTTCTTGCTGACTTACTGACAACCCCAAGACTCTTCAAGACTATTTTCCAGGATCAAAACCGGAAACCCTGATGGTTGGAGGCACAAACGATGGGCAATCTTGTGGATTTGCCCTTAAACCAACTCAGTGGTCATTTGGTACTTGGGTCATCTTGGGTCCTTGTCCAAAAACAGGGTACCCCAAAATTGGATAAAAATTGAATAAATTTGATACTTAATCATACTTAATCCTGGCTTTTACCCTACTAAAATAGCCCTTCTGCAGAGTGTGGGTCCCCCGTTCCACCTGTGTCCAGGTGTGAAGAGCGACTGCTGGTCATTGGGCGTGGTGACCTACGAGATGTGTGCACTGCAGGTCAGGTACCTCTAAATCCATTTTTTGATCATGTTTTGACCCAGGAAAATCGCCATTGTATGGGTATAGCGGTGAAATGGGTATACCCCATTTTCAGGCAGCCACATATAATATTCCTGTCTCAGTTCATCTCAGTTTTCGTCCATTGTGTATCCCTCTTCATCCTTTCTCGTCATTCTTCATCCTTTTCAATCCTTTTTTCTTCGTGTTTCCATGATGTTTCCATAGTGTTCTCATCTTTTTCTCCTTTTCTGATAGAATTGGATGATGGGAAAATTTGCAGGAAAGCCCTATATTTGATGGTAAAAACCATGGTTTCCTGCAGATTTTCCCTCAATCCAATGACTGGATTTTCTGATCAGCATTCCGCTGGCCGTCCTTGGTCCGGTCGCGGTCCCAGCCAGGTGCCGTTCCTGGCCACCTCGGTGGTGCAGCTGGTGATGAAGATCTGCAGCGCAGAACCTCCAGCGCTGCCGCATCTCTCGAGCCCGCTGCGAAGCATCGTCTTGGGGCTGTTGCAGTGCCGGGGATTTGAAATGGGACTGGTGAGTTGGGTGATGTAATAGACTATATTAAGAACATTTCTCTGATCATACATATATATATGTATATATATATATGTATATATGTATATATATATATGTATATATATGTATATATATGTGTATATATATATATACACATATATATACATATATATACACATGGTAATAGTTCTGATTATTAGAATATAAAGATCTACATAGCCAGGCTGATCTTGGGGGACACACATCCCCAGTGGATCAGCCAGATGTCCCAAAATCCCATTGGTTGATTGATGAAAATAGAGGGGGTTCTTCAGAAACCCCTGAAAAACAAGAGGTTTCTATGATGATAGATGGTATTATACTATGATGATATGGATATGATATATAGTAAACTATAGTATTATGATATGGTATTATACTATGATGATAGATGATGAAAAACAACAGGTAAATGATCTGTGGAAAATTACGGGGATTGATTTTGACAACCCATCCGTCACCAGTGACAGGGTGATGGCTTGAATAAAGCATTAGATCGCGGTGTAAAAGGGTTAGAATTTCACCGGCAAAACATGGACATTCACCATGAAAAGATGCGGGCAGCCTGGGCAAATTATAGCTCCCCCTAATTGATCTCAGTAACGGGAACCTCCCAAAAATGTGTTCTTTCATTCTGAGCTACAGTACTTTGCCCAGATATGCCCAGATATATGTATAGTATATTTATAGTATATTATTTAGTATATTATAGTATATTATAGTATATTGTAGTATATTATAGTATTTTAGTATATTATAGTATATTATAGTATATTATAGTATATTATAGTATATTATAGTATATTATAGTATATTATAGTATATTATAGTATATTATAGTATATTATAGTATATTATAGTATATTATAGTATATTATAGTATATTATAGCATATTATAGTATATTATAGTATATTATAGTATATTATAGTATATTATAGTATATTATAGTATATTATAGTATATTATAGTATATTATAGTATATTATAGTATATTATCGTAACATGTTTTAATATATACATATGATGTATACATGTTCTATGTACATATAGTTTCTCGGTGTATTGATGGTTTCTGCTTGTTCAACACCATGAGATCCTGGAAGCTCCGGGGTCGGGGTCATCGCTATGGTGGCCAAGGAAGGATCCGCGCAGACGCTTGCGATTGGAGGATGTACTGGGCATGAGCTATGCCAGGAGTGGCGTCATGGGGGTCATGGTAGAGGTGGGTAGATCTATGTAGATCTACAATACGAGAATATTTGATGTTACCCTCTGGTAATTTAACATAGCTATTGAAAATGGCTATTTATAGTGGATTTACCGTACCCATTAAAAATGGTGATTTTCCATAGTTATGTTAATTTACCAGAGGGTACATGATGTACCCGGTCTATACATGTCTATACCATATTTTAGGAAGTAGGTCTAAATGTACAGATTATGCTGGAGATATATGAATATCTTACACACCACTTCTCTTTTGTAAGAACGGATCCCTCTCATAATCCCATGACGTTACCAGCAGTCTGGCACAGAATATCTAAGGAAATCTAGTCGGAGCTGGATGAAGGATGAGTACCACAAGCCATTTTTCATCACCACTTTGTCCGACTGGGTGAGCTTACCTGACATGGCGGAAATTCTCGATGTTTTTGTTGGAAATATTGATGGCTTTTCCAGCATGGCCACATTAGATTCCAGAAGCTACGGCCCGACTGATCAGGACTAGCAAATGGATCTCCCATGCGCTTGTAAGTGGTGCTCATTCCACATACACTTACTAGGCAGCAACAACCCTTTCGTTGTGTTGGCCAAATCCCAATTTTGGTTGGTTCGATCCCCACGACATTGGTGTTGCATGGATCTCCACGAAATCGCTTGGATCATGTCCCCAGGGAACACCTTCAAGCACTGCTGGAACGAAGCCAACACGAGGTCAGCGCTGACTCGACGTACGTTTTTCCGTCGATGCTGGAGATCCATGGAGTCTATGGATCTAAGTTTTGAGACGAGAACAAAGGGCGAACGAAACCAATAAGAATTGGGAGTTTTACTGTTTTTTTGTTAAAAAAAAAACAATGTTGGAGTTGAAGTTCAACGAATGATGATGAATGATGGTATATATAAAGCCTTGCTTTACTGGGATACAACCAATAGTGATATAACAGGTCAAAATGTTGAGCTCAGGACCACCCAACAACTGGCTAGTTGTTGCATGCCAAAGCGTACCTGTGGTTCACAACTTGGCAAAATAACTGAAGTTGGGGTCAGCAAAAGGCTGTGGATGCCAAAACTGCTGTGTGTCCATCGCTGGCAGGGGAGCACCTTGCCGTCGGCATCGATGGCGACACGACTGGCCACACATCCCTTGGCGCCGAGTGTGAGCCCGACCCAGGAGCTGTCTCAGAAAGATGGCTGGGGAGATACTTTGGTGGTTAATTCACAATGAGAATGCATTTCATAATTTCGCAATAGAAATACAGGGTATGTCGGAGTACAATTGTGACCAAACAAAACATGTTCACTCAATTTCATGGGGGTGGGTCCGAGATGGTTCAAGCAGAGTCCATTGTCTGACCGATCTTTGATGATCTTTGGGTGTTTCTCATGATGTGAACGAATATGGAATCCAAACACCTGTCAGTAACAAGTCAGATGGCGGTCGCCGCAACCAGGACACTGCAGAAGCCGCTGGGAGCTTAGGAACCCGGGACTAGCGAATGCAGGGATGCAAGATGACAAATGCCGGATCGAATGCATACAAATGCATCCTCTTCGGGTGGATACAAAAGTGCCAATCTGATCCTATCTGTGTATCCACTATGGACGGAATGGCATACTCAGTTTTTTCCCCATTGGGGTGACAAAAATACCATGTGATCTTTGATACGGAAGGGCACCGGTGGTTAAAGATGCAGTCAATTAACAGGCTGACCAAAAAAATATATTTCCAAGATTCCAAGATCCTTCACGGCCCAAAAAGTGGTTGGGTTAGTCTGGTTTAGTTCCAAATTTGAGACAAACCTACAAGAAAATGGAGAGTTCAGAACCCAAAAAACATCCAGAAGCTTCCGAAGCCACGCTGGCTTCGAAAGTGCCAAGAAAAATATGTCCTTTGAGGTGCGCGCTGAGTTTCATCGAAATCGAGAGGTTGGGCACCCAGGGTGAACAAACATGGGATACGGCTGCAAAATTCCTCAAGATGATCAAAATAGTTGGAATATGTTGGAATGGAGGGTTTCAACTTGCCAGGGTCATCCGGTTTTGTGGGGGTGTTTAATATCTTTAACTTTCAGGGGCATTTTGATGATCCGCAGCCAGATTTTCCTGTGACCCCTGTGACAACAAAATGCAGGTGGCCCGTCTGGCGCGGGAGCGTTGTCGAGGGAACAGCCTGGGTCCGTCCCCTGAGAGGCCCGAGACAATGGGCTGACTCTGAGTCTCCCGTTTCGAATATTTACATATTTGCATGGATAATACCATGCATATTATGCAATATTATACATAATTATACCATAATCATACGTGTATTTATATACATATATATATACTAACTTGTGTTAATATGATATTATAGTATTGCTGTTTATGATGTGGTAAGCTGAATTACCATGTGCAATTGCCCGGATTTTACCATAGAGTTGGGGATTATTCCAGAACTAGGAGCCATTTAGACATCATTGTCCTGAGAGTGATGGTTTTCCAGCCTGGTTCGTTTTAGCCGAGGGCAAAAAGTTACTGGCCGGACAGTACATAGCATGTACATAGCACTGCTCCTTTCCATGTCTATATCAACGAATCGGTTTGAAGAGTGTTTGAAGTTTAAAGTTTCAAGGTTTTTAGTGTCTTCTACACAGTTTTCCATGGTTTTCCATGGCTTTTCCTGCTGATTTCAACCACTTCTGGGAGACCTGCCGTCCCAGGCCCCCCTTGACGCCCGAGCGCGCCGCGGGCCGCCCGTCCTCCGTGCCGCGCTGGTCCGATGCGGCGCCGCAAGTGCTGGGGACGCCGCCGCCGAGTCCACGGCGCGATCGTCGGGAGGAGGTGAAGCGAAAGTCCAGGGAGCAGAAGGAAGCTGCCGAGGCGTGGATGGGGATGCTGGATGTGATCATTGAGAAACTACAGTTTTAGAGTTTTTTTAATAGATCATTAGATATATTATGATATATATTATATATATATAATTATGATATATTATGATATATATATATATATATTGTAACCATCCTAAAATGATGTCACCGGTTGGTGCAGGTCGCCAGGCTGCAGGAGTTAGAAGAGGCCAGGCAACAAGCCTTTCAGGACGCCGTTTCGGGCTTCAGGAAGCCTGGAAGCCAGGGATGAAGCCAAACAGGTTACCAGAGGATACTCGTAGGTAAATACTATAGATATATTACCCTCTGGTAAATAAACATAGACCCTGAAAATCACCAATTTTTAATGGAAACTAGTCTTCCAACCCCTATCTGCCAGGGTCTATGTTAATTTACCAGAGGGTAAGTACCATTAATGGGTACATAGGAAAAACACATGTTCATAAAATCAAGTTTAGGAGCTGTTTTGGAGGTGACCTTGTTTTGGATCTTGAACGTGTTGGGCGTTTTGGGCTGCAACTACGGTCATCTCCAAAAGTTGAAGTATAACGTTAACGGTACCACCTGATCCAACAGGTGAGCCAAACATCAGCTTTTTGGTACCAAGCCAAGTCTCGAAAATGAAGCTGGTAAGGGGATTTGCTCATGCTTTTTCAAAGATGTCGCCATCTTTTTTCCAGAATGGCTGTAAATATCTGTAAATCCAGATTGCTTATTCCCTACAGGGAACTTTCCAAGATCAAAAGTGCCCCTCTGGTGCAGCACCTGGCATCCCCTTGAAGGTGATTTGAGTGTGGACAGCAGTAAAGATAAACAAGTCGTCAGGTGCTGTAAAAAATCCATGGAGAAATGGTTTGACCCATCCCGGAATGATGTTATTTTATAACCAGCTTCCCCCATGAAGAAATGGTGGAGCGGCTCTCAGAATAGCCGTCATCCCATGTCTTTTATCATTTGGTCCCCGATGGCTGAAGCCTCTTGAGGAGCGACTTGCAGCGAAGCAAAGGATGGAACAGGATCAGCGCTCACATTTAGGTAGGGCTGTGCCAAAGAGAAAAAGCAGACTGGATATGGCAAGAAATCTCGGAATCTCATGAACTTTTCATGGCTACATGGTACAACCATTGGCTGTTGACATGTTGCCAAAAAGTGTTCTGCCAAATGGAGAAGAACAGGTCGCCCAAGACCGGAGCGATTCATCGACAGCAGCAGTCCAAGGCCGACGGTTGAGTTGATCGAAGGGGGCAGATGTGCCGTGGTCAAAACATGTTTTTTTTCTCATACATCCAAATGACAGAGCGGATGGTCAGAGATCAGTATGTATAATTTATATATATATTATATTATATATTAGATTGGATTAGATGTTATAGTATATTAGATTAGATTAGATTACGTTATATTATATGATGTTTTAAATTATATTTCATGTTAGATTTTATATTATATATTCTATTATATTATACTATATTATATTATATTATAGTATAGTATATTATATCATAATATATTATATTATATGCTATCATATAATATTATATCATATTATATTAGTTCATATTATTTCATATTATTTCATATTATTTCATATTATATTATATTATATTATATCATATCATATTATAGTATATCATATTATAATATTATATATTATATGTCATATATTGTATATTATATGTTATATATTCTATATTATAATATATATATATTATACTATATGTTATATTTTTTATATTCTATGTTATATATATTGTATATTATATGTTATATATTATATATTATGTGTTATATATTATATATTATTTTATATATTGTATTATATAGTGTATTATATATTGTATTATATATTGTATTATATATTGTATTATATATTGTATTATATATTGTATTATATATTATATTTTTATTTTATATTATATCATATATTATAGTATATTATATATTATATTATTTATTATATTATATATTGTATTATATATTGTTTTTATATATTTCATATTATATATCATATTTTTATATATTATATAGTGTATTATATTTTATATTATATATATATTATATCGTAGTATTATACCATGGGTAGGGGGATTGTTATGTTTGCAATAATAGAAGTTCATATGACCGGTCGAAGGAATCCCGAATCATGGCCATAGCCCATCCCATCTTTTGACCATGGCACAGGTCGTCTTGCCAAAAGCCACCTTGACTTTATGGCTGATATCCCTTAACTAGATGAATTGTATCCCCAATGTTGAATGGAGATCCTGTATCTACCACTTTTTCGATCCATGTTATCAATGGATTGGTTTAAGGGAAAATCTGCAGGAAACCATAGAGTTTCCCATTAAATATGGGGTTTTCCTGCAAATTTTCCCTTAAACCAATTCATTGATGTTAGAACCTTGTGTACCAGATCCCCCACATTTGACCCGGTTCTAATGAACGCTCAGCCACAGGTCAGATGCCAAGTCTGAAGGCTCCGTTGGCGAAAAGTCTGCCAAGATGGAGCAGATGGAGCAGCTTGGGCTTCCCTTTTGGTTGAACAAATGATCCGTTTTCGCCACGGAAAATCGTGATCTCATCACCAGACTTGGGAGATTCATGGATATTCAATGATGTTCAGATATATTCACCCAACAGATGTATCAAATACAGTATAAGGATGTATAAGGGTGGAAACCAGAAATGATGGGGAATGAAATCATGGGTTAAACTTACGGAAATGGTTTCATGTTTGTTTTTACAGTAATGTATCTGGCAATATTACTGTAAATATCAAACCATCCAAAATTGGTGTTATGAATTTGAGCCATAGCAAGTTGGAAATCCTTGAACATCCTAAAAAATCTAAAAAAAGACCTGGGGAAATCATGACGACTTCACTAGTCGACCTCGCCATCAGAATCATCTCTGGGCGCTGGGCAAACTCCCAGTGACCATGACAGTTTCAATGACGCAAGTTTGAGTTAAGAGATATCTTTCTCAGATAAACCTTTGAATCAAGCCATGTTTTCGAAACCATAAGCTCTGCGCAAATTGAAAAAACCTCCAGCCATCTCATAATTCTTGGTGAGGCTTCAATTGTCCACTTTCCTAAGTTTTTGTTGATGAAATCTCCTTTTCTACTGTATCCTTTTTTGTTGATTGGTCTAATTACCATTGCACCATTTTGTGCAAGTGACATTTCTGGAATGCCCAAAGTATTGATTCCTTCCCCACCTTTCCCCAACTGTTCCACGGTGTAATCTCCATAAGTTCACATAAACTCCGCCATGTTCACTCGAAAAATCCCCAGTGTCCTCAGTGAAATACTTAGAACTGTTATTTGAATGCTCCACTTTTTCTTTGGTGTAAAAAATGGAAGTTTGCTTTGGGATGCTTTGGGTATATAAAATCACATTTGTGTTGGTGAAAACTCCATGTTTGCTGACGAAAAAGCAAATTGTCTGGCTAAAATTTCAATTATTGTGGGTAACGTTTCATTTTTGATGGTAAAAACATAATCTTTGTTGGTAAAAAACAACTTTGTGTGGCTAAAAAATCTATATATGTTTTGTTGATTTGAAAAAGCACCTTGTGGAAAAGAAAAACAAAAAAACTCATTTTGATTGGTATCTCAAAATACCATTTCTGGTTGGTGGTTTGGAACATTTTTTATTTTCCATAATATATATATATTAATATATTAGGAATAATCATCCCAATCTGACGAACTCATATTTTTCAGAGGGGTAGGTCAACCACCAACCAGCCATTTGTTGGTGTATCAACATCCCAATTTTCGGGCAACGACTTCCCAGGACAGTCCCGCCGGAAGTCGATGTCGATGCAATATCGACCTCGGTGGATCTTCGAGCGCTGCGGGGGGTGCTGGAAGAAGCCTTAGTGGCTTGGCCAAGATTTTGGATGGTTTACTATGGTTTACTTAGATTTGCTGAAGATCTCGAATTTGGATGATTTTGGGATGTTATCTCACTTTTAGTGATTATAATTACTGAACTGACTGAACTCATCTAAACTCTATGAACTTGGGGATGACTATAATGTGGGAAATCCATGGAAATCCAAGAAACCATCCCCATCATCCCCAAATCATTTTCATGGGTAGTATAAACCATCAATCCATATGGGTGGTTTATTGGTTGATTGGTTTCTCATGTTACTTAGATTTGCTGAAGGCGATTTTTTTCGTCTTTTTCTATGGATGAATCCACTTATTATGAGCGGACACTTACATAGTGAAGAGTGGTGAGTATTGAAACAGGGATGGATAAAAATCTGTGATTTTCCATACGAACGGAAGGATGGACATTCATAGCTGCCAGCTATTTCTATGTGTACAAAGGTAAAAATATCATCAAGAGGTGGCTTGATGGATAGTGGATTTATTCATCGAAAAGTTGGTTTTCACCATAAAGTAATTATTGGGTTTTGACCATCAAAGAATTTGTATTGGACAACGAATTGCAAAATATGTCTAAATAATTGTGGTGACCCTAGGTTGATCGACACACCCAGACATGATTCTCCCATTTGCTCACTCAGGCAGAGCCACGAAAATCGGAAAACCCGTATTTGCCAGGGATAAGGCCACTATTCATTTCTGGCTGATGTTCCGGGTTAGATTGCCAGAGCGTGTATCCAATGTGTCCCAAGGACAGTTCATGGAGATATTGTTGGTGATAAACTAATCTGTTTCCTTACGAGCTCAAACCCCGTTTCGGTTGCTTAAGATCCAATTGGTTGTTAAAGCCCAGCAAGTCCAATGATGTTGAACACGTATATATATATATATTACATATTTATTATGTATACAATGGTCACCACTACCAATATATAAAAATACAGACATACATTACATATCCCTTGGGGGAAGTGTCTCTAAGTACCATCGAATAGAGAGATGGATAGATAGATGATAGACTCTAGTGGATAGAATAGAAGATGTTGAAAAGTCGCCACTTCAGCGCCTTTTAACGCTCAAAGATCACCCGTGCCTGACCTCACGCCAAAAAACTCAACGCCATGGCGATGCCAAAGTCTCAGTCCCGTCGCGTCCGTGGAGCTTTGTTGGTGGCCATGTGCTTGTGTGCCTGATCCAAGATGGCTTCAGATGGGATACCGGGATACCGGGATACCTATCAATACCTATCAATACCTATCAATGGTTCTTGAATGGGGAAAATGATTATAAATCATGGTATGTTGGAGGTGTATTGGTGTATTGTGTACCCCGTTCTTAGTCATGGTTGGTTAATGGGATGGTTTATGGCATTGGGTGGGTTTACCACATTGAACTGCTGTAGTAACAAAAACATGAAGAAGATTGGGTTGAAGCAGAAAAATATCAGTAGATCGAGTAAAATATATTAACTGATATGGGTATGGGCGCAGGGAGCTACAGATGAGCTGGTGATTTCTGGGAACCCAAATGAAGGTGGGATGGGGAAGGGTGTTCTAGCTGGCACCGGGTTCGATCAGTTTGATTCCTAAGCGAAGATAGCAAGGAACTAAAGTGATCTAAAGTGTATAGATACAGTAAAGATCGTCAAAGAAGCCAAAAATCAACTATGAAAACATCAAGGTGGCGACATGAGCAGAGACTCCCCAAAAACAACTCCCGCAAAATCCACTGGTCAATCATCATTTTTCCCAATGAAACTGGCAATTTTGGCGGGACGATCATATTACTAGTATAAATCCTCATTGATCATTATACCCCATTTTCAATCATACCCGGATCACATTGTTGGTGATTGATATATTATAAATATATATATATATACATACATACATGCATGCATGCATGTATGCATGTATGTATGTATATATATATATATACCGGTTGCCTTGCGGCAATGAAACGTGGCTTGCTGGAAACTCCTACCAGCCCTGCCTTGAGGCAGTCTTTGGAGTTTGTCTTCTCGGGCCTTCACCAAGACTGAGGAAGTCACTGAGGAACCGCGGCAGTCTTTTTCTCGAGGTTTCGAGTGGACCTCAAGTGAGGGGTGACTCCATCACACCTCCAACTTATGATGGTTATGTGTTTGAATGTATTTGACGTGTATATATACATATATAGTTGTATACATATATATATATATACATATATATACACATATATACATATACACATATATACATATATATAATTATATACATATATATATATGTATATAATTATATACATATAATATATATATATACATACATAATTATGTATGTGTATGTAATTGTAATATACATGAGTTTTATTTGCTTATCCTGTACACGTTTATGTGTATATATAATATATGTACACATATCTATACCGTGCATATGCATATGCTGCATGCCAACTCTGAGGACCTCATTGCCCGACCTCAATGCAGATCGTGGTGTTTTTGCAGCGGAATTCACATGATTCACCTGTCCTAAAATAGTGACGAAGTGAGAGGTGAAAAGTTTCCGTGTTTTTTTCACAGTGGGTTGGATGCGTCAAGTTTGCGCACCGACAGGAATCCGGAGGTGCAGCCACTCGGCTTACTGAACTTTATAATGAAGCCAAAAAATTGAAAAGTGGATGGTCAAGATATATAATATTATATATATATATATGGGTCCCTAGGTCTTTGAATTTTGACCCACTTCCAGTGAAGCCCCATGAAGTTGATCATGATTGTCACATGTCTTTGCCATGAAAACTGCTAGAAACGGGTGTATCCATTATATAAGTTTGGAGAAAACCAAACTGCTTACCTTCTGGGAATCAAAGCCTCCATCTCTAGGGGATTTTCCAGCTAGCCAGCCACGTTTGATTACCGGGTAAGGCCAGGAATTCGATGTAATTCCTCTTGCCCTGCGACAGTACCTCTGGCAGAATCCTCCTTGGCAATGGAACATGCACCATGAATCCATGGTCCCGTTGAAAAATCCACAAAAGTGGCGAGTCTATCATATTCGACCATGTTTTCTTCATGAAAATGGTGGAAGATGTGGAATTAGCATGTGTTTCCCCGTGTTTCCCATGGGGGTTCCCATATTTGTCTAGTCACCTGAGGTGAAGTTGGTGGGCGAGCACCCACTGGTTTTCACCTTCCTCTCCATGGCTTTGTGCGGTGCCCTGTGCTACACCGAGAACTCCAGCACTGGCAAGTTGGAATTCATGAATCGCGTGGCTCAGCGTGGATCGAACTGTGGATCAGTTGTTTTTTTTGGTTTGGGACTTAGGTGACCAAGCCTTAGGCATTAGAAACTTAGACATAGTAGGAAAACCGATCAACCAACTAATATAATGAGATGGGATAGGGTTATTTTGAATGGCTCACTTAGACGGTCGGTATTAAAGCCCTTGGGAGCTTGATCAGAGCTGCGCCGCCGCCAAGGACTATTTCACCTTTCAGAAACTTGGCCCCGTGCAGGGTGAGATGACTGGAACTGACCTCCAAAATGAGATGTTTAATTAAGGGCATGAACTTGATGTGACCGTGAATTCCTTCTGACCTTCAACTTGTATAAAATGGAAGGTCCTACGTACAATAATATATATATATGTAATTGTGGCAAGGGGGTCGCACTTGCCCCTACTGAAGGCGGATGTAGGGGCGCAGCTGACCCTAGGGTAGGGGCGAATGTGACTCGACCTCGTTTTGCGTGGCAGGCGCAATAGTTTTAGAGGTGGGAAAGGATCGTTTTCTAGATCTAACAGGCATACGGACAAATCGCAACTGTCATGGAAAGTCAGTTCCAATAAAGTTGTTCGGGATGCTACGTTCTCAGATCCATTTCCAATACCTTCAAGCAGTTTGTTGTAACATCCATTTCAAGCAACTTCCAAGACGTTCTGCATGCTACGTTGCAACAACCACTTCAAGCAACTTCCAAGACGCTTTGGATGCTATGCTGTAACATCCGTGTCAAGCATCTTCTAAGAAGCTTTGGATGCTACGTTGTAACATCCACGTGAAAGGTAAGTGGCACCAGCCCCCCCTAACCAATGTCCCCAAGTCCCCCCTAACTGTCCCTTGTCCCCAGATTAAACCCTAAAAGGTTGAATGACTTATTAAGTAGAAAGGTAAGTGTCCCCGGCCCCCCCAACCAATGTCCCCAAGTCCCGCCTAAATGTTTCTTGTCCCCAGGTGAAACCCTAAAAGGTTGAATGACATATTGAGCAGAAAGGTAATTGAGTTAGGGGCCAATGTGACCCTAGCTGGGGTAGGGGCGAATGTGACCCTGAGGTAGGGGCGACTGTGACCCCCGTCCCCGTTATAATGATACAGATAAAGTAAAACACCACAAATTTGACAAGTTTTCACAACATGGTGAATCCACCTTCGTTACGGCTTATCAGGGCGCCATGGCCAATGCCATAGCCTCACCCCATCGAGAGGATGAAATTCTGAAACCAAACCCATGTTTTGTCTTGGAGGAATCCCAAAAAGATCTGCGGACATCTAACAGGAAGGTCCTGTCTCAGACCTTGTTGCAGGTCTAAGCCGTTTGCTCCTCAGCTGTATCTCACACAAACTGAGATGCTTTCCTCAAGCTGATTTAAATTGTACTGTAAGCATTATCCAACTGGTCAATGGTATATCCATCATCAATAGTGGATATACCGATATACCATTGACCAGTTGGAATCCAAAAAAAACATAATGAAAAATGTCTCAACCATCCAAAGGTCCAGGTCCCATAAAAATTGTTACACGAGTTGGCCAACAGGAAAGCTCAACAGATTTGGCCAGAATCCACAGGTCTCCAGGTTTAAAACTCAAAATACATGGGTCTCCAGCTCTAAATAAATAAAATCCCTGGGTTTCAGTTTCCGTTAAGAAAAAAACTGGAGAATCAATACATCAAACCTTACTGGTGCTAAACGCAGGGAAATTTCGGGAATGATCCACTGGCTAACTATCAATAATCATCCCATTCCCCCAGCAACCCATCCATTCCCTACTAAGCACCAGTAAGAAACGGATGGCGGATTGTTTCTTAATGCATCCCAACTGTGCTCTTCAGGTTGATCCAGAACATTTTGTGTTTCGCCTCCGGCCTGATCAACGTGCCTAGCTGACGACGAGACCGCTGTTGTTGCTGATCAACGGTGGGTGGGTGTGAATTTGCAGGACCAAACACCAGATTGGCTCAAGATTGGCTGATGACATCCATGTTTTTGTTGATATGTACCAGATACCCTCTGGTAATGACTAACATAACTATGGAAAATCACCATAGAAATAGTGAATTGTCCCATGAAAAAGGGTGATTTTCCATAGTTATGTTAAATTACCAGATACCAACTTCAAAAATTGAGAAGCAATCTGTTGATTCTCGATTCTTGACCCTCATCCATGTGGCTTTGAAGTCTAGCTCATGATTCTTTAAAGAGAATCAGGGGTTCCTGATAATGACAATCAATATTCAGTCTATTTCAGTCTAATGCTGGAAGTGTGACTCAATCAGTTCATTGGTGGAGAACACTTTTCCTCCTAGCCTGGTAGTCAAATCCAGCAATGGATCCAAGAATTCTCTCAACAAGTGATTTTCTCCATCGTTTTCCCATGAAAATCGGGGATTTGTGTTTGATCCCTGCATATCCCTCGATCCATCCCTAGGCCCTGACGATCTTCGACATGGGCATGACCGTCTCCCACCAGAGTGGAAACACCAGTCACGCAGGCGCCGCCATGATGTCCCAGGGGACCAGGTTTACATAGTTAGCTGATGGTCCTAACAAAGAGGGACCATTAAACAGCTGCCATATTTCAGCTTGGTGAATTGTTTTGCTTCATCCAAATGAATCATGTTTTGAACTGGAGAATTAGTCTGGAGAATGGTTTCCCTTCATTTACGCGCCTGGAGAAGCAATTCTGTTCAAAGCTTCCACAATCACATCCACAATCTTGGAATGTGTAGCCCTTAAATTCAACAGGGAAATTCACTACAGTGTATTATAGTGCGGACCCCCTGATCTTTCCCACAATTCCACAATTCATAAGGCTCAGCCTGACCGAAAAGGGACAGTTTCCCCGGTTTACTGGGGATGATCAGGCTCTACCGGGAACACACATTGCGGATACGTATAAACCGCAACCATAAGCAACCATCTTTAAAAAATTCGTTTGTGTGAGGCAAAAGATTACAAGATCATCGTTTTTCCCATCAAAACGGTAATTTTCACGGTGCCCTGTTAGTTTTGGGGAACCGCATTTGCAATCTCTAGACTCTAGTCTTGATCGCAAGACCCTCCTAATTGCATAAATAGTCTACAGTGGAATCCCTGTTTTTTGATGGTGAAATCGTGTGAAATCCCTGTGCACACATTGTGTCACTTCAACAGCCGCCTGACACTCGAGGCCGTTTGATCATGGCGGGTGGCGCCAAGTTCGGACATCTTCTGGCTGCGTTCTGCTTCGGATCTTTCTTCGCAGGCGAGGTACCAATGGTGACCTGTTTATTGAATTCATTGACTTATAATTTGGAGTTCATCTGTGATTTAGTTTGTTTGGATATTTGGATTATTTTCTTGGAGAAAATATGACTTCTGTGATCGAAAAGTAGCTGCTCTAGCTGAGCTGCTCATTTCGCATCTGCGTCAAATCGCTGATTTTACGAAATCATGGAGACGATCCTCAAGTAGCTGCGAGCCCCCCAGTGAAAAAATATCACGTAACAGTGGTACCATGTGGTACCAGTTCTTCAATTGAAATGATCACGAATCATGAATGATATGAATGATATCACTGGTTTATGGCGAACCCCCCAAAAAATAGACTGAGAAAAAGAATGGTTGGGTGTGGGGGGCTGCGCTGACAGGCTACAGCAAGGCGGATACAGAGCTCATCTACTCGGGACGATATTCTCCCAACCTTTTGGCTTCTGCCCTGGCTGTTGCTTGACTCAGCTTGTGGTCACAAGAGTTGATAGATCCACTGGACCCAAGAAAGAACGAGGTTTCGTCGGAGAAGGATCAATGGCTCTGTCACCCTTAGAGTCTTAGAGGATTTTGTGTGATAAATCCAATACACATCGAGCCGCAATTTTTGGATGGCTCATAGAAATTCATATCATTCATTTCTGGAAAATGATGGGATGGTTATCTTCGTGGTATTTTCCGCCTCAAAAAATCCCTGAAGAAAAGCCTCCAGGAATCCTCGATATATCCGGTCCCCAGGTGGTCGCCGGATGCGTGGTGCACTACTGCAAGGTGGGGATCCGGGGGGTGTTTCACCCTGCGGTGAACATTCCCAACATTAACAGCATGGAATCAACCGATGGCGATGGAAAATCTCTCGTAGATGATCTTGCCGTATCGTGCCACCAATTTCCTCATTACACTTTAGATTTCCCATTGCCAGCGAGTTAGAATAGTTGGGAGAGTACTTGGGGTGCAGTTCCATTCAATAAGCAGGTAGATGACCCTCATTGACATATATAGGTGTCATCATCACACTACTTGTGCTGTATACCCATTAATAGCTCCACCCCTGCAGACCAGTTGTACACATTCCCCGGTTCCTTAAGACAGAAACAGGAGCACGGTGGCGAGGGCAACGACAACACTTCTGAGTGCCTGCTGTTGCTGGGCAGTAGTGATTGTCCACCATTTCCCAGGGGGAGAATATCTCATTGGGTTTTTTGGCGGTCGAAATCTATGAACATCCGAGTCACGAGTGAGCAACTTAGGGTGTCCCAGTCAGCAACTACCCGAGTCAACCAACAGCTATGACTGACATCTACGCGTTTTGGTTCGGGGTGGGTTCGGGGTGGGTGGGGGGGCAACAACGTTCTTGCTACTAGTAGCAGCTGAGGTGACATACGTGCGGCTAGGCTCTGCATAGTGTCGTCTACATGAATGAGAACCTGATAAGAAAGCTAAACCCTAGATATTGTTCTCCAGCCTCCAATTTCTAATAACTCATATACAGTCATATATATATATATTATATATATACATTTATATACATATATATATACATTATTTTATTTATTATATTATATTATATTGTATTATATTATATTATATTATACTAGATTTTATTATATTATATTATATTATACTAGATTTTATTATATTATATTATATTATATTATACTATATATATATATACATATGATATATATATATACTATAGTATGATATAATACAATATGATATAATATAAAATAATACAATATATATATATATATTATAGAAAATAAAATATATATATATATATACATACATATTTCAATACACACGGCCTGCTTATCCCTTCATCGTAGTTGCCCACTCAACCTTTTCTAAGTTGCCCACTGAACCTTTTCTTAGTTGCCAACGCAATCGTTTCTTGCATTCTCACCAAGCCTTTTCTAAGCCCTCTCATAGTTTCCACTGCCGCTGTTTCTTAGTTGCCGATTCAGCCCGCTGTGACAATCATCCTAATAAGATCGAATGGGTACCCGGTGAAGAACCAGGAAAGGTTATGGCGGTAACTAGCGATATTTCACCAAACAGAGAGGTAGAATTCGCATGAATTCGTCACAAATCCCCATTTTTGGGGGGCTAAATCATGCTAAATCAGGGTCTTGAGCTCCCATGTGCTTGGTAGTCAAACCACCCATTAATCACGGGTTGAAGCATGCTAAAACAACATCGTTAAAAACAGCTTACTCCAAGTTGCGTTCCCAAATTTCCTGGTCAACAGATCCAGCATCAAAAATTCTGAGGCTCTTTGCCTTCTCTCAGGGAATCATGAACGGCATCACGCGAAGGCGCTGAGAAAAGGTAGGTTTTCAGGATGTTTAGGCCTTATTTTTCGCGAAAAACATAGGATTCGTGCGACAGTTTTTTCTTTTGGTTCGATTTCAGCATGTTTCCATTGGATTCTTTAAGATCGAAAACTGAAAATCATGGGATTGCAGTGATAATTGTTGTTCACTGCCAAATCAAGGGATCTTGAATCCCAATTATGGACATATTAATGGACTATCTGGACATGTCCCAACGTAACGAAGCCATATTCTATGCATTCATGGAACCTGAAACCAGCAACCGCCTGGACGCAGGTGCCAGACCCTGCCCATCTGCACCACTCACTTCACAGGTGGAATTGGACATCTATGGCTTGTATGGCTGGGATTTATTCATGGATTTGATTAGATGATTAATTTCACAGTATTTCAATGTATTTCATTTTAATGGGAATATGGGGAAGCCCCAACCTACCCAAGCTACTAGTATATGGGTAAATATAGGGATGTAAGCGTCAAAAATGGTGGATTATGATTGGGATATGTTATGGATTGTTATGGGATATATTGCCAAAAATATTGGGATATGGGTCTGTCTAAAAAGCATATGGGCAAGTACCATTTTCTGGTGAGATTTGATGGGGTTTTTCGTAGGATATGCCAGGGGGGCATTTGCAGCCAACAATATGATGTTTGGACCTGCCTGAAAATGTGATATTTCCCCTTATCTATGGTAAAAGAGAATCAATCAATGGATTTGGGGTATATTGAATTTTCTGACAAACCAAAGATATCGGGTGTTTTTGAGTACGGAATTTGGTGCGCCAAAGATTGGTTGATTTCAAGGAGTAATGCAAAAGGTCATCCAACCAATGCGTTTTGCCCCTATACCCTTTTCATTGGTTGTGGTTTGAGGTGAAGGGACACGCGTCAAGAACACAGGTACATACAGGTACTTTGTACTTTTCATAAAATGTGATGGTTTCAAGTATCCTTTTCTCCAAAATGCGGTAAGAAGTCACCCACCCCACAAGGAGCTTATAAAATGTGGGGTTCCCTGCCATTTTCAGTGGCTGTCCCTGAATCCATCTCCATCCGGACAGGCTACTTGACCGACGTTGGCACCTTGTTGGGCTGGTGCGTACGCGATGGCGTCATGGGCGAGAAGTTCTTGAAGGCCTTTCTGAAATTCCATGGAAATTCTGGGGTTGAAATCCATTACCCTCCAGTACTCAAACATTGCAATGTGAAATCCACTATAGATAGGCATTTAAATGGGAAAATATTCCATAATTGAGATTTGTCCATTGCCACGTTTGATTGCCAGAGGGTACTACGTAACGATGATGACTCATAACTATTTATGGGTTTGGTACTTGAAAATTGGGGGGAAAACCCGAACATCCCATGGACTATCATCATTTTCCCTATGAAAATATTGCCAATTAGGGGGGTATATCCCCATTTTCAGACACACCCGATTTCCCTTACTAATGACGCTAATGACTGACTATGTGTAATTATCCTGTTTTGTACCCTCTGATAGTGTCGTGAAATGGCATTTTTGACGTGTCTCGTTCCCATTTATACCTGCATTATGGATGGTTTTCCTTTGGAAAACTGTGGAAATCCATTGCCGGCGGGTGGAGGAAATGCCGATGGACGATTCTATTGGTGACCGCTAGCAAATGGATGTTCATCCCCAAAAAAGTAGATTATGGGCAAAGAGTTCAGAAGTTCAGAAGGGCCAGAACTGGGGCTTGGTGGGAGATTTTGAAAGGCCAAGGTGCAAGCTCCTATGGTAGTCATCTTAACTTGTGAACGATTCATGATTCGTCATGTTCAAAACCCTCCAGTAATCTAGGTTGGCAATGAATCCTTATCTGGCATACTGTGCTTCATGGGGAGATAATCCACTTGAATGGGAGATGTTGCATCATCAGAAATTGGTGGGAACCCCAAGCAAAAGCAGGACGGAGTCCCAAACATTCACTCGAAGTTTGAATATGAAGGATGTTTGCAGTATTGCTTCCGCTTCAAGCTGCTGATTGAGGATACCCTCAGCCTTTGTTTCCCTACCACGCTGCCAGTTCTGCTTCTCCCGGCAATTACCACGTGAATAAATGGGAATTGGGAAAGGTGGACCAAGTACAGTGAATGACGGAGCTGCATGGTTTCATGTTTGTGGGGGGGCAAACTTTCGACCCTACCAAACCCCCAAATGTTCCTGGAACAGCAGCTGAAAAGGATGCAACTTTCGGAAAATCATCTCTCACACCCATTGCTAACAGACTTGCCAACCATTGACGCCGGGATCGCAATTTGAGCCAGTCTTCAACTGGCAATCATCTGGGAGATCCTAAAGCTTCTAGATCATGGCCCATCATCTGTGCGATCTTCATCCAAGTTTGAGGAATAAATTTTGGCCACACCCAACGCATCTCTGGCATCGGTAATCAAACATGGCGATGGAAATCTAACAAATGTTCAATGGGAACATGTTCCCATTGCCATGTGAAATTTTCAGACGGTACCCGGTACCATATATATATATGAATGGTGAATAGAAAGGAGTTTTAACTTAACCCAGCATTTCCGGATTTCATCTCAGTTTGGTTCCATATGAGCCAGTGTAGACTTGTATACGATCAGATACAATTGTTTCGGTAATATGTGTGTATATATATATATATGAGGTATGAACAAAAATAAGTGTAGACTACTTTAGTAAGGGAGGGTCCAGGTGTGTCCAGAAAGTATACCAAACCATGTAAAGCGATAGGGCCCCCAGTAACCATATGAGAGTGCATTAAACTTGGTGTAAACCAAGAACATATTGTTGTGCACCTTCACGCTATGGGCAAAATTCATGAAGAAAATTCAACCTGCAGTGCCCACGTTTCTTGCAGTGGCCATGTCATTTGTTGTCCAAGGTGATTGAACCGTTGCTTTCTGCAGGCAGTTTGTTTTTTTTTCTCCCAGGTCCCAAAGCAGTAGAATTAAACTAAACTAAATGGCTAAACGCAATTGAATTCTGAATTAAAACAAAAAATCGGTTTAAATCAATTCTGAATTCCGTTTGTGTGCTGTATAATTTAATTCGAAGTTGTTCTTCCTTTGTTTCCTTTTTTCTTACCTTCCTGTTTCCTTTTACTTTCCTTTTGGAACTAAACGCTATTGAAGTCTGAAGTAAATCAAAATTGTTTTTGAATCCAATTCTGAATTCCATCTATTTCAGTTTTTCCTTTTTGTTCATGTCTCCTTTTCATTTCCTTTTTCTCTTCCTTTCTTGATCATCCTGGTATTCTAATTTAGCGATAACCTTGGCGATAACCTAGCGATAACCTTTTGTTGAAAAAGGGACCCCGGACAAGGGATAGACTGATTTGACCACAGCGATATCATTGTTCGTTTTCATAGAATTATTGATCTTATATTGGTTACTGTCATTCTAGTTTGGAGTTGGGATTGTAATAAAGTTCCTTGCTTAGGTAAAGAGTCTAGGAGTGTGCTTAGGTAGCTCCCCAACATGGTTGCAAACGCAAAGACAACGAGCGCCCCCTTAATCCATCCCCGGCAGTTTGAAGATCTGAATCCGTGAAGCCAATTCCGCTGCATTTTGCATTATTTAGTGTTGATTTGAATAAAACACTGTAAAGCGATAGCGCCCCCCAAAAAAAGCGATAACCTATATTTTCGTACCAAGCGTCAACAATTGATTTTGACGACGGCTCATAATATATATATATAGCATTATATAGCTATATTAACTAAATTACTACAATATTTACTCAGACTTATGAACATAATTAATATATATTGAACTAATGATTGAATGTTAGATCGAATAGAATCACTATCGATACTAATAGTAATTAGGTAGCATAATACGTGGTATCATTCTGTTAGTCTAATAATATCACTAATACTAACAATTTGCTAAGATAGTAATATAATAGAATAATGGATACATTAACTAATTGCATCTAATTACCAATAATTGAATATAATTAACTCTATATTGAATTAGAATGACTAATGTGGTTAATACAATATAATACAATCATAAACCATTCCCCAAATCACCATTTTATAGGTGGGATGTTTACCATTCCCAAATGGGTCGTTTATGGCATTGTTTTAACCACATTCTAACTGAATAATGCTACCCTCTGGTAAACTAACGTAACTATGGAAAACCGTCATGCTATTAATGGGTAAATCCACTATTTCTATGGCAATGTTCAATAGCTATGTAAACGTTTACCAGAGGGTACTGTATATAATCAGCATTTTCAATAGCTATAATCCACTATTTCTATGGCAATTTTCAATAGTTATGTAGAGATGCTTACCAGAGGGTATACCATTAATAGGTTATTTTCCATGACAAACCATCCATGTTGGGGTCCATGAGAACTGAATCATGCTATTATTAACATAGCTATTGAAAATGGCCATTTATAGTGGATTTACCCCAACAAATGCTGGTTGGTGGTTGACCTACCCCTCTGAAAAATATGTTAACTGGAATCATGCTATTATTAATATGGAACATCTCTAATATGCTATTAATATACATGAATAATAGAACATCTATTAATATGAGATGTACATTATTAATCCATATGGGTATGGATCAATACCTATTAATACCATTTTTAGTGGGATATTCACATCCATTTTAACCCAGCTATTTTGATGTGAACTACAGGGGTACTATTGGTTTTGACACACTGCCATATGAATAATCTATAAATCTATAATTATTAATCTACATATGAATAATAGAACATTATTAATCCATAATAGAGACTGGTTGGTGGTTTCAAACATTTTTTATTTTCCATTTCATATATGGGATAATCCTTCCCATTGACTTTCATATTTTTCAGGATGGTTAAAACCACCAACCAGGAGATGTACATCCATATGAATCTGCGACCCAAAGTCGTCCATCTCTACCAACCCGGTAGGCCATGCTCTTCGCCGCGGGCATTTTGTTCTTCGGCCTCGGTGGCGTGGCGGCCAAGGAGCTGCATGAGTCCTACAGCATGCAGGCGCGCCCCCGGGGGCCCGGGGATGGTGGAGAAAATGATGGAAAAATGATGAAAAATGATGGAAAAAATGATGAAAAATGATGGGAAAATGATCAAAAAATGATGAAAAAATGATGAAAAATGATGGGAAAATGATGAAAAATGATGGGAAAATGATGAAAAAATGATGAAAAAACGATGAAAAATGATGGAAAAATGATGAAACATGATGGGAAAATGATGAAAAAATGATGAAAAAATGATGAAAAATGATGGAAAAATGATGAAAAATGATGGGGAAATGATGAAAAAATGATAAAGATGATATAGAATGTGGGATTGGGAATGGAAACATCTATGAAGAATTCGGATGGATTTGGGGAAGAATTGAGACTTTGGAGTCAGATGCAATGTGAATCACTACCAATGATCATATAGGAATCTTCAGATGTGTTTATGGTTTGAATCATATGTGTTTGAGATAGATGCTGGGAAAACAGATATATATATATATATGATTGATGATAAACCATTGAAGTGGTAGAAAGTCCCCAAAAAACTGGTAGTTTCACCCTCCCAGTTGCGACCTGATTTTTTTTTTCTTTACCCTCGGGATGGTGAAAGATGGTGGGGAAATGCTGATTATATACAGTACCCTCTGGTAATGACTAACATAGCTATTGAAAATGACCACAGAAATAGTGGATTTGCCCATTGAACATGGTAATTTTCCATCGTTTTTTCTATGTTTACCAGAAGGTATGTAGTATATTAATACATTATTGGAACAGTTTGGGATTGGATGGGTTGGGTTATGATGATTTCTATATGGACCAGTTGGGAAAAGCATCTGAGGGATCACCTCGCTGGGCTGATCGAAGTGGTTTATCAGGGTGGTTGAGTTATATGCCAATGATTTTGTGGATGATATGTCCTATGTTTATCGGATGTCTTTGTGTATCTATATATATAATACTATATATTTATGCGAATATTCACGTGTGTATGTCCATCTGAAGACATATACGATTGTAATGGATCAGTAGGTTAGCCTCGATTCAACTATATTATGATAATACTAGATGAAAGAGATTAAATGTGCCATTTGGTGGTTCATACCCCAATTCAGACACACCTATTACATCCAATTTACCCATTATTCATAGTTGTATCCGATTGTATCCCGCTAAATATCCCATCCTCATTAAATCCCATTGCATCCTCGTTGAATCCCATTCAATCCCAATGAATTCCCAGTGTTTTCCCTCTGAAACGTTGAATCCCAGGCTGCTTTGATCTCCGCTGCCCTCATGGCCGCGGTTGCGGGTGGCTTGGTGCCAGTGAACAAGACCAAGACCAAATGAAGGTGCCGCTGGGATGGGCAGAGGGGGAAGATGACGATTTTTGGCTCAAACAAAACGGGATTTGACCCTGACTGGGAGGTATAGTGACAAAATATGACAACATGATATAAGTAACCAACAATATATCATTTGTGGTGCCTGAAAATTGGGGATGGACCCCCAATTCATGGCAATCTTCATGGGAGATGATTCACCGGTGGAAGATGAGTGGATTAGGGCACTTGAGGCCGGGACACCCTCTAACGAGAACAAGTTTTTTTGGTCCAAAAAGTTTGGTACCTCAAGGATACACCTGTTCATGGATTGAAAGATGGTAAAAATCTTGTGCCAAGTGCCAAGTTTCACAATAAAAGTAGCCCCCCTTTTGTGTCCAGTCGACTACATCCTGGAACGATGCTAGATGTCCCATTTCAGTCCATTTCACAGGCTTCAAGCATCCCAAACAATCACCAGAATGGATGTACCGTTGGAGATGATTCTTACCAGCTGATGCTTGTAGATCATGGCATTTTTATCAACCCACTCCAGGCGTGACGAAAAGTCCTGCGATTCGTCCTGACGGGCTTTCTTTGAGCTTTTCCAAACGATAAGTTTTTTTCGGTGTGAGGCACCAAGCCTCAAAAAACCACCGTGCCTTCTGGCCGACAGTGGGGCTTTTTGATCCTCAACAGCCGGAGGGACCGAAGGCCATGGAGCGTTCAAGACTCAAAAGTTTGCGTACGCAAAAAAAAATGAGCTGGGGAGGGTGAAACCCAACGGTTGGTGGTAGCAGCTGTACCCGGCCCTCTGGTTATATGCCAAATCTGGGAAAGCACAAAAGTGTTCTAGATTTAGATGGTCCTGTTCATCAGCATTTTTGGACATCAATTTGTTCTGTGCAGGTGGTGATCATTCAGATTTGGCCAGCTTGAGGGTGATAAAAACAATCCAGCCAAGAGAGAACCGTCCGTCTCCAAATCCGGCAAAACGTGCAAGGAATCTTTTGGGGGATGTCGAAACAGGCAATGGAGTAAGTGGGACAACTGTAGCCCTTTTCCAAAGATGTCTGAACATGGAGAAGAACACTAAAGGACCGGATAACCCCACATGTCAACTTCATCCAATAAGCACAAAACAGAGGCGAAAATGGGATGGGGCCGGCAGGAAAGACAAAGGAGATGGTGGAAGACAGATTGTGTGAAAGAGCAGCTGTGTGTGAAAGAGTTGTGTGTAAAAGAGTCGTGTGTAAAAGAGTTGTGTGTGTGTGAGAATGTTGTGTGTGAAAGTGTCATGTGTGAAAGAGTTGTGCGATGGTTTATTAATCACGAAAGCTAGCGTCAGCTAGCTGGAGTCTTCTTGCTTTAGCAAGTATTCCGGGGGCTGCTCAAGGACATCACGTGATTTTTCACGCGAAAGGGGGGGACCCCCACCACCACCACCACCACCATCACCATCATCATCATCATCATCATCTTCATCTTCATCGTCATCATCATCGTCATCATCATCATCATCGTCGTCGTCGTCGTCGTCATCATCATCATCACCATCATCACCATCACCATCACCATCATCATCATCATCATCATCATCATCGTCGTCATCCTCATCGTCATCGTCATCATCATCATCATCACCATCATCATCATCATCATCATTGCCATCGTCCTCGCCATCGTCCTCGTCATCGTCATCATCATCATCATCATCATCATCATCATCGTCCTCGTCCTTGTCCTTGTCCTCGTCATCGTCCTCGTCCTCGTCATCGTCATCGTCATCGTCGTCATCATCATCATCATCATCATCGTTATTCACTTACATTTCATCATTATTGGCAATTGTTGGCATTATCACGAAAGGTAGCGTCAGCTCGCTAGAGTCTTCTTGCTTTAGCAAGTATTCCGGGGCTCCCCAAGGACATCACGTGATTTTTCACGCGAAAGGGCCCCCCCCTGCCCCCTCCCCCATATATATCATTGTTATATATCATATATCATATATCATTGTTGCATCCTCGTTGGGACGAACAATGCCGCGACACGATGATGACAGTCCCTCCGCAACTCACCTCTTCCCTTCCTTCTTTCTCCTACCCCGCTAGCTTTCGTCATCCACCCCCGGCCTCAAGTGTTTATGATTGGGTTTGCATCCAAGGTTCAAGTGGAGGAGAGGACCATCCAGCTGGATGTGCCTGGGATGTGGTTCAATGGTGGTCCCGTACCTGTTTGGAGGCTGGATGTTTGCTGCGTCCCCATGTTACCTGGAACGAATGGAGGCTAGATTCGGCTCCAGGAATCCTCAGTGGCTCAGCATGACTCGCCCATTTCTGTTTGGAGCAAGCAATTTTTCTGAGACAGCACATCGCCAGCAGTGTCAAAGCCTTCCATATTGTCTTTTGAGAAAGTATAGTGGTTGTAGTATGTTGCCGTAGATGATCAACCATTCTCTTCCTCAAGTTTGTTGCTGATTTATCCCATTGATGTAGGAATGTGCCCAGAAACCATCAACGATCCCCATCGAACTCCCTAACTTCTATCTTCCATCACTGAGGACTTCCAACAAACCTTGCTGCCTGCACCGCCACCTGAAGCCCAGCCACCAGCCTGTGATGAGCCGCCTGGATGCAGCAAGGTACTGTAGTTGTTCAGGTCTTGGCTTAGGTGAACCACATGGGACGTATCCTAAACTGTTGAACTTGGAACTTAAAAGCAGGAATCTCCAAGATGAAAATAGATCAGCTATTACATTATATTATATTTCATTATATATACATTATATTATATTACAACTCATTAGAGGATATAACCAAGTAATTTTGCACTTGGACGTGGCTTTGCGGTGACAACTTGTCCAGGGCCGAGACCACCCTGCGACCACCGGGGACCGCTCCGTCGCCCGTGGCGTCCGGTGACGTGTCGCCGCCGGCGGTGCCGGGCACGGCGCCGGAGGAGCGACCGCTGCGGCCCGCGGATCCGGCGCGGCTGTCGGCGCTGCTGGAGGGCACCCAGGAGATGTGAGTTGTCAAGGGCACGGCCAAGGATAATGCATAGTTAAAGAGTCGAAAATGATGATATGATATCTTAAAAAACACATTGTGATATTTATATATATATGCCATTATAATATATATATACATATATATACATATATATATATGTGTGTGTGTATTGCGAGTATAAAGAAGTATAAACGATGATGATGATGATGATGATGATGAGGATGAGGATGATGATGATGATGGTGGTGGTGCTGGTGGTGGTGGTGGTGGTGATGGTGATGGTGATGATGCGTGGTGATCCGTGGTGATCCGTGGTGATACATGATTTTATACAGAATTAACATACATTACAGACGCCGAAACACGGAAATGCAGTTTAAAAGACGCTCAGAGAGTTGTGTTAAAAAGAAAAATGGGAATGAACTAGCAAATGGCCTGGTGACATTGCTGATTTGATGGTACTGCCGTGTGATGACCTGTGTTTTGGTCGCATGTGGCTATGGATCAAGAAGCAGCAGAACCACCCATGCCCTGCAGCTCACTGCCAGGATTCTCTGACTTATTCGACCTTGGAATCCAGTTTCTTGGCGAAGAGTGCAGGTCTTTGATATGAAGATGGATCGAGTTATGATTCATGGGATTGTAAGGCTTGAACCCACAAAAATGATGGTAATTCATAACCAACCATATACTACATTTGGAGCTCTTTTTGGGGGATGAACATCCATAACTATCAGTTATTTTGGGGTGAACTGAAGGGTAGCTGAGGCTTGAGTCGTGCCCATATGGGTCTTACTGGTGGGTGCTGATGCCATGCTACAACAACGACTCTTGCCAAAGAGAGAATAATTGAGACATACCACTTAAATTCCTCAAGGATTTCTGTGAAATGGCCAGATTTGGGTTGACTACTACCCCCAGTGGATGGTATGTAAAATGAGGGTTAGTACTTCAACTGAGCCATTTTCATCACGTTTCATACGGGTGATGAAGCAAAATTCACCGCCCATCAGAAGCCCAGGCCTTCCGACCCTCCAACGTTGTTTCGAGGAAAGCGACAAGGACCCGAAGGCCAGGAGCACCATGAGTTTCTACGGACAAAATAACCATGGGCGGAAGCTGATGAATTTCTGATGGATATTAATTTGATTTTTGCTATTTTAGTTGTCAATTTTGTACCCAAAAATCAAAGAGTCTTTGGATCCTCATGAGTTCAGTGACTCGTTTTACTTGTTTTGTTTGCTGGGAGGGGTTCACAACACCCACTGGCCCATAATGTGCTTATCTTTTGGTCCTGATGTTGGAAAGTTATTTTATTGCAGGTTTTTCAACCACAAAAAAAAATGCAAACAGGGGTGTCCTCCAATCTTCTGGGCTGACTCATCACCGTTCCTTGTCACAGGCAGATCAGACGGCTCTGTCAGAGGCCACGACCTCAGTGGTCCTGCATTGAATGACCAAAAAAAGGACTGGGTCTTGCATTGGTACAAGGTGGTGCCCCCCAGTTATAAGTTGGTTTATAATCCCATTAACTATAGATATATCTACCATAAGTCCTAGTTATTGGTACCTGAGGAGTCCATTGGATCTTGGAATGATGTTGGTACATCCGTCCATTCAAGTGTTTCGGAATTGCTCAATGAAGCGACTGGAAAAGCAAAATGCTGGAGGGGGCGCTTGCCCATGGAAGAAAACTGGCACACTTTGGTCAATGATGTTGATTTCATTTCAGGGCAGTCTTTATCTTTTACGGAAACAAGAAGAAATCAGCAGCTTCTGGAACACTGAAGGTTCCTCCATCAAGTACTGCAGCGGGGATGCTCAGATTCTTTCAGAGATCCTTACAGCAATTGGTTCGGAAGTTGGATGAAAGGAGTCACGTTTTTCCCTGGTTGGCATATTCTATGGTTGGTGATCGGTGGGAATAGAAGACAACCTGAGGATAGGGTCAGAAAAATGAAGGTACAAACTCAGTCACGAAGATCGGAACTCGCCAGTTCCTGGCACAAATGATGGTTATGAAATGTTATGAAAATATCTCGGACAGATATCCTCTGGTAATTTAACATAACTATGGAAAATCACCATTTTTCATGGGAAAATCCACTATTTATCCACTATTTCAATGGCCATGTTCAATAGTTATGTTAGTTTACCAGAGGGTACTCAGATACTCGCTGGATATGGCCTTGCTGATTTCCTGAGGTCAAAGCTGAAGTGATCTCCTTGCATCTTGCACCTTGGATGCCTTGGATGAGGGCAGAATGTCCCCATTTCCCAAGAATTTTGGACAGACATTTTCAAGTTGTTCTTGGTAACCCTCCAGCAAACATGGCTGGAACATTTGCCATGGATTGTGAAAAATTAAAACCTCCATTGAGTTAGGGGATTCCCTTCCGCATCATGGTGCCCAGCCCGCATCAGCCCAGCATCAGGCTGCGGCTGAGAGCAGCGCCAGCCCCACGCCACCGGAGCCAGATGCCACTGGAGCAGGCTGGAAACGAGGTGGTTTGGGCCCCTTTTCAAAGTGACGTTGAAAGTTGTTCAATGGGAAGATCATCTTCGCAACACATTTTTTTGGTCGCTCTATCTTAGTTTTCAATCTAGTGATGTATAAATCCTGAAGAGTAGGAATGGTACATTGGTACATACTGGTACACAAAAATGGCAATGTCTCATGATATCTCATGTCATCTTTCAAGCCCATGATGGGGTTTCCACGGGAGTATTGTGAGTTTTCGTTTTGACATGGGTCCCATTTGTGGATGTGGGACACCGCCATCAGCAAAGCTACAGGAGACATCGAGCGATTGCGGTGCCGTCGATTCTGTTTGATCATGTGAGGCCTGGAATGGGAGAATTTCCAACTGGAGTCACTGGAGACTGTCCAAAGGTTAACATCCCAGTGGCTTCACTTGACTTGTTCATAGGGGTATGGATGAACTGGCTTGAAGATGTTTGAAGTTGCATTTTTCTATTTCGATGTTTTCTGGTCATGAGATGTGCCACGAACCGCAGGTCCTGGGATGCTGGAAAGGCCGAAAACACGTCGTTTCACCAGGGAAGTCGAACCAGGTTTCCCAAGCGAACGATGCTGATGAGAGTTCAGCATTGAGAAAAGGAGTGAGCGGAGGTTGGGAACCTCTAGGATGAACCTGACATTTATAGATATTTATGATATGATATGATTATTTATGGCACTTTATAGCATGTTGAAGCCACACCCAACTGAAAAACATTCGGGGCTTATCATGAAACACAGAAAAATTGGGTTTACCGTTGGGTGCTAAATTAACCAAATGGAGAAAACCACAGAAGAGTCCCAAAATGGTTTGTGAAGACCGCAATACTTTTGGGGTCGCTTACTTTTGAACAGATGCAGATGGTGACGTCCGCATGGGGCCTTTTTGAAGTGTGGTTGTATCCCGCAAAAATTGGTCCAAGATATAAACGAGGGTTACCTGGTTACCTGGTTTGCAACTCTTGCTACGTAAAAACGAGCTGCAAGTTGCACAGGCCCTTCGCTGGGAAGCCAACAGCTTCACCACCAGCCCAGCAGCCCCCTATGTGCAGAATCTCAAGGTGGGTCAACAAACTTTGGGGACATCACTTCAATGTTTTCTTGGCTAATCTTATTGGGATTTCATGGATATTTAATGGTAACTCAATGGTGACATTCAATGGATTGGTTGAAGGGAAAATCTACCGGAAACCATGGTTTTTACCATGAATCGTAGGGGGTACTCGTACCTGTATTTTTGTCCACTGAACAAAGTTGAGATGTAAAGCGTTAATCCACTGTGGCTGGGTGATCATTTCTTCCATCTATGCTTGGGATATCAAGATCCCAATTTTGCTAAAGTTTTTTGGGGGTTGGGGTGAAGCCCACCAACCACAGATGTTGAGGAGTCGTTTCTGAGTGGCCAATTTGAAGGATTTCATTTGATGAACCCTGCCTTTGCTGCAGGGGCAGATCGAAGAACTCGCCCGGCGAATTCCATGCGTCAGGGTCTTGAAATTTGAAGCTGCAGCAAGAAAACAAAGTTTCCCAATGAAAATGACCATAAAATGATTGTGTATATATAATTGTGTATGTATATGTGTATGTATGTATGTATGTATGTATGTATGTATGTATGTATGTATGTATGTATGTATGTATGTATGTATGTATGTATGTATGTATGTATGTATGTATGTATGTATGTATGTATGTATGTATGTATGTATGTATGTATGTATGTATGTATGTATGTATGTATGTATGTATGTATGTATGTATGTTGTATGTATGTATGTATGTATGTATGTATGTATGTATGTATGTATGTATGTATGTATGTATGTATGTATGTATGTATGTATGTATGTATGTATGTATGTATGTATGGTATGTATGTATGTAATGTATATCATGTATGTAATGTATGTAATGTATGTAATGTATATCATGTATGTAATGTATGTAATGTATGTAATTGTAATGTATGTAATAGTAATGTATGTAATGTATGTAATTGTAATGTATGTAATAGTAATGTATGTAATGTAATGTAATGTAATGTAATGTCATGTCATGTCATGTAATGTAATGTAATGTAATGTAATGTAATGTAATGTATGGTAATGAAATGTAATGCAATGCAATGTAATGTAATGTATGTGTGTGTGTATGTGTATGTGTGTATGTGTACATATATTATATATAATTCTATATGCATATGTGCATTTAGGCTGACAGTGCGGCAAGGGCACAGGTTCTGTGTCTCCTGGGTGCTTAGAGGGAGTGTGGGCATTTCCGGGTGGCATTTTGCCAACATGTTTTAGTGACTGCTCGCTTTGGAAGACAAGTCCAAAGCACTTTTACAGTACCCTCTGGTAATGACTAACATAGCTATTGAAAATGACCATTTATAGTGGATTTACCTACTATAGATGGTGATTTTCCATAGCTATGTTAAATTACCAGAGGGTAACTCTTGGGACGCTTTTGTAGACACACCCATGTAGACACAAAACCACCACTAGAACTGCTGCAAAATGTTGAGAAAGATTGGATGATTCAAGCAACTCAGAAGAAGCTAAAGCGAAGGAAAAAAGGATTTTCGAAAAGAAACAGAAGGATATGTGGATTATGTGGGATGATAGATTCGTTGCAGTTACCTAATTACATTATATAATAAAAAATAATAAAAAATGATCAGATAACTGGGCAATTTACCACAGATCCTTCAGTCACCAGTGGCTAAGGCTGGAGGTGGTTCCATCCCCTTTTCGACTCAATGCATCTTCTGGGGCTGGTTGGAGGCGCAGGATTCAGTGATGAAACGGGCGGACGAAACGGGCGGTTACCGGGGCTGCAAATGTTGGGCGGACGTGGGAAGCATGCAAAACAGGGCGGTTGAGAATAATGTACCCGGCCTGGTAAACGTTTACATAACTATGGAAAGATCCACCATGTTTCATGGGTAAATCCACTATTTCGACTGGGCCATTGAAAAAATAGCTATGTTGGTTTACCAGAGGGTAGAATGAAAAACATATGAAAAGCGTTCTGAAAGGGAAAACGCGGGAAGCCTGACACACGGAAGCACGCACATTTGTGTGATAGCCCGAGCTTCCGATCTTAAAAAATGGCCTGTCCTAGGCCTTTGCCAAGCACACTATCTATGAATGGACCTGTGATCATCTGTGATCCACAGTTTCAACATGTTTCAACCAAGACTTAAGTGACTTGGGCCTCTTAAGAATTTGCAGATGATCTCCCCTTTACTTTGGGATACTTGGGGCATTCTTTGGGCCAAATTTGTTTCTGAAGTGAACTTTTCCACCCCTTCATCAATCGGTCACAGGTTCGATTGATGCAGGAGTGCTTAGAGGCTGTCCGGGAGATCATAGCGGCGCTGGCGCTTCTCCAGTTTTGGTCTGTAGATGAGGATGATGAGGTCTTTATGCATCAATATGGGAACATCATGGAATATCTATGGTTAATGTGGGATATATATCTATGGTTAATAGAAATATTCACACCTTCTGGTTTGTTGGACTTCTGCCATCAACTCTACACTATGGCAGCCAGCAATCAATCTTTGTAAGTTCAATTGAAAAGCTGCAGCCACGAACTGAGGAGTAGACCTGAAAGATGTTTGGATGCTTCTCCCATCTTCCCATTTTCGATAGTCCCGCATTGCATCGCCACTTTCGATCGTTGGAAAACGGTCCCAAGAATTGGGGGCTCCATGACTGACTGGTTGTTCTGTAAGAACTATCCATCAAATTGAGTAAAATAGCCGCTTTTGATGGATTTTGATGGATTTTTGCCATCTCTATTTTTTTGACATTGCTTGGCACGCAAATACAATTGACCCACCAATTGGTGTACTACTAGGCTGGCAATATGATGCCTCTATTTAATGCTAGTCCATGCCCTCTAGAAGTATACCCAGGGCAAGAAACAATGTAGCAACCCACGCTTTATTTTGATTTATTTCAGATACACAAAGATCCTAGTAGTAGTGTAAGATGATTAATTATACACATTCCCATAGTTTACAACAGTTTGCACCTCCCATTATGCATTCAACGAACCAAGGATCCAAGAGATTCAACACAGCTACCATGTCTCTAGAAGCATCGTGCCGAATTAATTTGTCTGCTTGTGTCTCTACGAAATCCGAATAAGCAATGGAAAAAAAAAGATGAGAAACCAGTGGGTCCACCCTTTGCAAAGGCCGGAAAAGAACCCACAGAGGCACTAAATGGATCTAATTGATCTCAAACCCTCACCAGGCCGACCAAAAAGGCAATGGAATACCATTCTGTAGTGGTGGATCTTGTGAAGGTCCTATCACACCCTGTAACCTCCCATTGCAGGGTTTCAGAAAAGGTTTCCAGATGCTATTCTCTACTAAATGGCTCGAAGAGTTTTACAAAGGGCCTTAGTAAGAGGGTGTTGGTTGAATGATGCTGGTCCCTCAACTCGTGGTCAGAGGGTTGCTCTACTAAATGGCAAGGTCATGTTCAGAATCCTCAAGATGACCCTGAATAAGTCCTTACGTAATTAGTCCGAGAAATCTGGCCAAATTGGTAACTCAACTTCACCCATGGCATTTCAATGCGTTTCATTTAGGATAGCAAGTTGAAAAAAAAATCAGTTGTGTTTGAGGCTACGCTGGCCAAAAATTCTCTTCTACAGCCCCACCTGGTGAATTCACAAGAGGACCCAATTGGTTCCTCATCACCTCCTTTTCCAGGTTCTGGCAAAGTGTGGCCGTCGGAAAACACCAGAGGCCGTCGAGGGGTGGACCATGGGGAGCCCGAATCACCACATGGTTTAATTAAGAATGTAGGTGCCCCGCGTCTCCTAAACTTTAGGATCCCTGAAGCACATGTATCCTCCAATCAGATTCGTTGTTTCAATCACTATATCGCTGAGAATGGGATGGTGATACTATGTGATACTCACAAGGAGTTTATTCTGTCATAGGGTGTGAAATGCCAGCAATCATTGTGGGAGTTGTCGGCTTTCCGCCAAGTGGAGGCTTTGATGTGTCTGGCTGAAGACTTCCGCTCCATTCATCAAGCTGCTGTAAACCCAGTGGAAGGACGCCAGTTGCAGCAGGGATGTTACCAAGAAACATGGCGTTGAACGATCGTCAGTGAGGACAGCAACAAAGTGATTACTGGCGGGATCCATTGGTTCATCACGTCATCTTCGGCACTTAACTAGGGCATCCCCTAGTTTCTGACAAACCCGAAGATAAAATAGTCCCGTCTTGGTTGATTACATCCCCATGATGACCCCATTATGACCCCATGAAATATCCCCGTGATCATCCCAATGTTTGATGGTCAAATCACTATGTTAGATTGCTAAATCACATGTTTTTTTGTTGGTAAATCATGGTAAATCACTACGTGTTCATGGTTGGATCAATTTGGATGGCTATTTTTGATAGCTAAATCACTATGTTTGATGCTTAAATCACTTTTTTGGTTGGTTAAATCACTACTTCGATGGTTGGATCAACTTAGATCACTATTTTTGATGGTTATTTAAGTGCCTACGGCAAGCCCGCCGGCCATAGCCTGTGCTTTTCTGTTAAAGTTCTTTGGTCCGTGTGCAAAAGGTTCTGTGTGTAAAAGCTTCTGTGTGTAAAAGCTTCTGTGTGTAAAAGCTTCTGTGTGTAAAAGCTTCTGTCTGCAAAAGCGTTTGTGTGTAAAAGCTTCTGTGTGTAAAAGCTTCTGCGTGTAAAAGCTTCTGTGTGTAAAAGCTTCTGTCTGCAAAAGCGTTTGTGTGTAAAAGCTTCTGTGTGTAAAAGCTTCTGTGTGTAAAAGCTTCTGTGTGTAAAAGCTTCTGTGTGTAAAAGCTTCTGTGTGTAAAAGCTTCTGTGTGTAAAAGCTTCTGTGTGTAAAAGCTTCTGTGTGTCTTCTGTGTGTACAAAAGCGTTTGTGTGTAAAGCTTCTGTGTGTAAAAGCTTCTGTGTGTAAAAGCTTCTGTGTGTAAAAGCTTCTGTGTGTAAAAGCTCTGTGTGCTTCTGTCTTCTGTCCTGCAAAAGCGTTTGTGTGTAAAAGCTTCTGTGTGTAAAAGCTTCTGTGTGTAAAAGCTTCTGTGTGTAAAAGCTTCTGTGTGTAAAAGCTTCTGTGTGTAAAAGCTTCTGTGTGTAAAAAGCTTCTGTGTGTAAAAGCTTCTGTGTGCAAAAGCTAAAAGCTTCTGTGTGTTAAAAGCTTCTGTCTGCAAAAGCGTGTTGGTGTAAAAGTAAAAGTTTCTGTGTGTAAAAGCTTCGGTCTGTGTGTAAAAGCTTTCTGTGTGTAAAAGCGTTCTGTGTGTAAAAGCTCTGTGTTTAAAAGCTTCTGTGTGTAAAAGCTTCTGTGTGTAAAAGCTTCTGTGTGTAAAAGCTTTGTCGTGCAAAAGCTTCTGTGTGCAAAAGCTAAAAGCTTTTGTGTGTAAAAGCTGTAAAAGCTTCTGTGGTAAAAGCTTCTGTGTGTAAAAGCTTGTAAAAGCTGTGTGCAAAAGCTCTGTGTGTAAAAGCGCTGTGTGTAAAAGCTTCTGTGTGTAAAAGCGTCTGTGTGTAAAAGGTCTGTGTGTAAAAGCTTCTGTGTGTAAAAGCTTCTGTGTGTAAAAGCTTCTGTGTGTAAAAGCTTCTGTGTGTAAAAGCTTCTGTCTGTTCTGTAAAAGCTTTGTGTGTAAAAGCTTCTGTGTAAAAGCTTCTGTCTGCAAAAGCTGTGTGCTGTCTGCAAAAGCTTCTGTCTGCAAAAGCGTTTGTGTGTAAAAGCTTCTGTGTGTAAAAGCGTCTGTGAGTAAAAGCCTCTGTGTGTAAAAGCTTCTGTCTGCAAAAGGTTCTGTGTGCAAAAGCTTCGGTGTGCAAAAGCTTCGGTGTGTAAAAGCTTCTGTGTGTAAAAGCGCCTGTGTGTAAAAGCTTCTGTGTGTAAAAGCTTCTGTGTGTAAAAGCTTCTGTGTGTAAAAGCTTCTGTCTGCAAAAGCTTCTGTGTGCAAAAGCTTCGGTGTGCAAAAGCTTCTGTGTGTAAAAGCTTCTGTCTGCAAAAGGTTCTGTGTGCAAAAGCTTCGGTGTGCAAAAGCGTTTGTGTGTAAAAGCTTCTGTGTGTAAAAGCGTCTGTGAGTAAAAGCCTCTGTGTGTAAAAGCTTCTGTGTGTAAAAGCTTCTGTGTGTAAAAGCTTCTGTGTGTAAAAGCGTCTGTGTGTAAAAGCTTCTGTGTGTAAAAGCTTCTGTGTATAAAAGCTTCTGTGTGTAAAAGCTTCGGTGTGCAAAAGCTTCGGTGTGCAAAAGCTTCGGTGTGTAAAAGCTTCTGTGTGTAAAAGCGCCTGTGTGTAAAAGCTTCTGTGTGTAAAAGCTTCTGTGTGTAAAAGCTTCTGTGTGTAAAAGCTCCTGTGTGTAAAAGCGTCTGGGAGTAAAAGCCTCTGTGTGTAAAAGCTTCTGTGTGTAAAAGCTTCTGTCTGCAAAAGCTTCTGTGTGTAAAAGCTTCTGTGTGTAAAAGCTGCTGTGTGTAAAAGCTTCTGTGTGTAAAAGCTTCTGTGTGTAAAAGCTTCTGTCTGCAAAAGCTTCTGTCTGCAAAAGCGTTTGTGTGTAAAAGCTTCTGTGTGTAAAAGCGTCTGTGAGTAAAAGCCTCTGTGTGTAAAAGCTTCTGTGTGTAAAAGCTTCTGTGTGCAAAAGGTTCTGTGTCTAGAAGCGTCTGTGTGTAAAAGCGTCTGTGTGTAAAAGTCTGTGTGCAAAAGCTTCTGTGTGCAAAAGCTTCTGTGTGTAAAAGCGTCTGTGTGTAAAAGCGTCTGTGAGTAAAAGCCTCTGTGTGTAAAAGCTTCTGTGTGTAAAAGCTTCTGTGTGTAAAAAGCTTCTGTGTGTAAACGCCTTTGTGTGTAAAAGCTTTTGTGTGTCCCGTGTGTAAAAGCTTCTGTGTATAAAAGCTTCTGTGTATAAAAGCTTCTGTGTGTAAAAGCTTCTGTGTAAAAGCTTCGGTGTGTAAAAGCGTCTGTGTGTAAAAGTCTGTGTGCAAAAGCTTCTGTGTGTAAAAGCTTCTGCGTGTAAAAGCGTCTGTGTGTAAAAGCTTCTGTGTGCAAAAGCTTCTGCGTGTAAACGCGTTTGTGTGTAAAAGCTTTTGTGCGTCAAAGGTTCTATGTGTAAAAGCCTCTAAAAGCTTCTGCGTGAAAGCTGTTGTGCGTGTAAAAGCTTTTGCGTGTAAAAGCTTCTGTGTGTAAAAGCGTTTGCGTGGAAAATAACACCAAAAATCCGTCACTCTGCTGGGGGAGAGCTTTTGGGACGGAAGCCGGGAAAGCCTCTGTGTGGAAAAGCGTTTGTGTGTAAAAGCTTCTGTGTGTAAAAGCGTCTGTGTGTAAAAAACACCAAAAATCCATCACTCTGCTGGGGGAGAGCTTTTTGGACGGAGGCCGGGAAAGGAGAAAACTCCGAATCAGCGACCAGCCCTCCGAATCAATCACCACGAATCAGCGACCACATAATGAGAATCAGCGACCACATTTCGCAGATCAGCGACCACATATGCGAATCAGCGACCATGAATCAAAGACCACGACTCAACGACTACATGCCAACCCTTAAGTTTGGGCGCTGTTTCTTTTTCTAATGTCCCCATCATACCAGTAGTACCGCGCGCGGCGGTGGCGGAAGTTTTAGAATCAGAAAGCTATAGGAGAGGCTGGTTGTTGTGAATCACGGATGGCAGAGGGAATTCACTGATTGACCGAGAGGTGGTTGGATTTGTGTTTGTTGGAGTGGTTGTAATGTTTGCAGTGATCACCTCACCCACAACTGCTGGATTGAGTGTGGTGTAGTGCAGCTGTAGTTGCAACGTAGTGGAGTTGTAGTTGCGGTGTAGTGTAGTTAGCGTAGTGTATTTGTAGCTAAATTGTGGCGGTGTAATGGGGATAATGGAGCTGGTGTAATGTAATGTACGGGGGTGCTATGTAGTGTAGTCTAGTGTAGTGTAAAGTAGCGTAGTTGTAGTTGTGGTTGTAGTTGTAGGTGCAGTGTAGCATAGTGCAGTTGAGGGTAGTGTAAAGTAGTGTAATGTAGTGTAGAGCAATGTAGTGTAGTGGAGTGTAATGTGGTGGAGTGTAGTGTAGTGGGGTGGACTGGAGTGGAATGGAGTGGAGTGTTGTGTAGTGTGGTGGAGTGTGGTGTAGTGTAGTGAAGTGTAGTGTAGTGTGGTGGAGTGTTGTGTAGTGTAGTATATTGTAGTGTAGTGTAGTGTACTGTAGTGCAATGTAGTGCAATGTAGTGTAGTGTTGTGGGGTGTAGTGTAGTGTAGTGGAGTGTTGTGTAGTGTAGTCTACTGTAGTGTAGTGTATTGTAGTTGTAGTTGTAGTTGAAACTGCTACAAGACTTTCACCTTTTGCTCACTTTTGACAAGGTGCAAAATCCCTTGCGCCTGCCACGCAAAACCACATCTCAACCGTCAAAAGTGGTCCGTACATCTGGCGCTTTGTGCATTCTGAATTGGAAATGTGCTTCGCGCCACAACAGCGTGCAATTTTTTTCGACATCTGCACGTCAAAAAGTGGTTCGAGCATGTGGTGTTTTTAACATTTTGACTTGGAAAGCCACAACAGCGTGCAATTTTTCGACATCTCAACTTTCAAAGGTGGTCTGGGACCGTCAGTTTTTGACACTTTTGACTTGGAGATGTGCTTCGCGCCACACCGGCGTGCACTTTTTCGACATCTCAAGTTCCAAAAGTGTTCCGACGTTGGTGTGTTTTGTGCGTGACTTGGAAATGTGCTTCGTTGCGCCGTCTCAACATGGTGTCTTATGTCTTTTTTTACTTAGAAATGTGCTTCGCGCCACAACGGCGTACACTTTTTCGACATCGCGACTTCTAGAACTGCTCCGAAGCTGAAGTGCTTTGCGCATTTTGACTTGGAAATGTGCTTCGCGCTACAACGGCGTGCAACTTTTCATTTCTCATCTGGCCAGATGGCTCCGCATCCCGCCGCTTTAGCGAGGTTACTTTTCGACCCTCTGGAGGCACAAATCATTGGACAAACACAGTGAATCGCGACTTTCCTATTTTTTCTCGCACCTGCATCTTCTTCCTTCTCACTCTTTCTCCTCTCTGATCTTCTCTCTTCTTTTTCTTCTCCTCTCTGACTCTTCCCGCCTCTGCTATTCCATCTGTCCATATTGTCGGACGTTTGATTTCTAAACTTCCTTCGATAAATGCACCCCTTCAAACAGTGTGGGGCAACAGATAAAG